TCATTAGGCCAAAACACAAACGAAGCCAAAGATCAGAGAGGTTAAGTAACTTGTTGCCTATCACACAGACCGAGATTTCAAACCCATATTAGTCTCTCCAGCCATATCCTTAACTGGCATTATTTAGAATTTATATCAAATATCATACCGGAATTAGAGGTATTAGAATGAGATTCAAGCCACGTGTAGTCAAAACCCCAAGGCTCCAAGGGTGCTGCTGTTTCTTCTTGCCATGGTTTAGGGTTGCAATATGATTTCATAGGCATTGAGGATGGAGAATAAGTTATAAGCAGTATCATTTACAAGGATAGGGTTTGGATTTAGAAACATGCCTTCAAGTCAGGTGATGCATTCATTGGCTACTCTGGGCACATATCAAGCTGCATAAATTTTTATACCTCTCTACCCTACTCTTTTGTAAAAAAAAAAAAACAAAAAAAACAAAAACTCATAGTTGCAGACATAATTTGCATAGAACGGTCAGGTGGTAATAGTTTACAGGGATGTCATGTTCATTCTTCCTTGCTAGCTTATTTCTAAGATTCAGTTTGTTTTCTAATCGATCACATTGACAAAAAGGAAAAAAGACACACACACCAGTGTTACAAAACCTTGTATTAATCATTTCCCTTCACTTTCAATATAACATTGATATGAAATATAGCCATGATTCTTAGTTACATGGAGGAAATGAGTAATAAATACATTGTAGCAAGTTTAAACCACAAGGGTGTTTCACTGGTAACAACATTTGAAAACTGTACACTTGCAAAGAACAGCATCTTCAAACATTAGTATATCTGTATATCAGTAAAGCTTTACATGTAACAAACATGCTATTTCCATATATGACAAATTTAAAAAATATGCATTGCTTGGCAACATGAACTAGGCAAAAATAGTTCTTTGTTCACTAACTTTATACAGGAAAACAGGACGGAGGCATGCATGTACAATAGGGATGCCTGCACGGGGCATGCAACAAAAGAAAGCTTTTTAAAAGTCAGCTTACATTAGGCATAAATACACGAGGGTTATATATTAATAAGGGAGGAAGTCTTCTGTTTGACATTATTAACATTCCTGTTTTCTTCCTATTCCTCCCAGAGGAATACACATTCACCTTTAAGTAAAGATAAAGGAATTACAAAAAAATAAAACGCACTTTGCAAACATCTCTGATGACTTGTAAAAAAAAAAAATCAACATTAGTGTTATCACAGCCCCATGTGCAAATGATCCTTCTGCAGGTCCTCCTTGTAAGAGGCACACCCCAGTGCCTTGGTCAGGCTGTTTCCCTGCACCCAAGCTGGAGTTGCCCGCTGCAGACACCTCCAGAGGGCTGAGATTGCGGCCTGCTTTTCCTCCCCTCGCTGCCCTCCTGGTTGCATGTCTATGCATTCAGCCCAGCTCAGTCCCCCAGCCTGGGCTTTGGGTGAGATCCTGGTTCTAGCTGGGGAATGCACATCTACAAACCTTGCACCGGCAGTAGCTACAAGAGGTGCAGAAGAACACAGACCCGGAGAAGTCTCCCATTCCATAAAAGGCAGCCAGTGACACCTCAAAAGAAAACCTTGTTTCCCTCAGTGTCTCTTCAAATGAATGGGAGATGGGGGCCCAGCTGTAGTTCCAATCCTGAGTACCAAAAAGGGACCATCAATACACAGGATTTGAGAGCTCGGTGCAAACAGCCACCCTCTGCAGGCAGACCCAGCAGCATCTGTTTTGCTTGCTGGCCCTCCTTTAAAAAGTGAAACTCAAAAAGCACGTGGAAAAAGACACATATCAGCAGCAATGTTTCAATTCTTGTACACAGTTCATGTGTGTCTTCCTACTGTTTCTGGTTAAGAAACCACTATGAATAAAAAGCACCAATAAAACATCATACATGGTAACAATATCGTAGACCGCCACTGTCCCTGGGACAGTGTAGAGATGCCAAAATACATACTGCTTAAATCAGAAAAAAGGGGGGAGGGGAGGACATGTAGTGAAATAGATTTTACTCTGAGATTTTTAATGTTTACTATTAATATAAAACAGTTGCATTTGGGGGTCAATGGGTAAATACAAAAAAAGGCACTGCCGCTTTATTACTAAATATCGGACTTCACAGCCTTACGCATGCAACTGTTTGATTCTTTTATAAATAAGGTTCTTTTGCTTCAGGATTTTAAAATTGAGCTGTATACCTGCAGTCAACACAGGACTCAAAACAAGGTGGGGACAGGCTCCTAAAATTTATCAGAACACTCAACTTAAAAAAAAAAAAACACTAATAGCAAAACACAACTAAGTAGATAAATCTATACACAGTCGATGAAAAATAAGCTTTTCTTTTTTTTAAAAAAAGAATTATGTTGTTATTAATAACAGACTTTATCATGGTTACCAGCCATAGCAAGTTAATAAGTAACATATCCAAAATAATATCTCTAATAATCAGATAACCATTGTTTCTATATTCAGTGAAGGAATAAATAGAAATCCAGATTTGCAAATACTTTAAGGTCTTCTTCCTTTTAAAGGATTCATGCTAATGTGATTGTGTTTACAATCTGTTTTCTGAACAACCCAAGTCTTTATGGATATATGTGTTTTGCAGCAGATCTGAATGCTTTCTCATTTCTCCACAAGATGTGTAATACCATTGTTTTTTCTTCTCTTTATTAACTTCCTCAGCATCCAAAAACACCTTCACAAACCCTCTGGTCTTACTTTGGCCTTCAACATTTTTGATCTATTCCTGCCTTACATGTGATCGTCCATCCCAACACATTCCCCAAGTAACACTAAGTTTGTTTAGAAAAGGGGTGTGGAGGATGAATGTTAATGGCACTTGGTTAAAAAAAAAAATCAACTAAAAAATGCTGCCTCTTTCTGCACATGGATTTGCATCTTTACAATGTAGTCACCCAAGAGGAAGTCTCCTTTCTTAATGCAAAGCATGGTATCATGGGTTCAAGCCCCCTTTCCTCGCTAAAGGCTGTCTACAATTAAGATGCTCCCACCTTTTTAAACCTTAAGACTTAGAAAGCAAGGCTGTGTTAGTGCACATTTTTAATCTTGAAAGGAAAAGAAAGTTGTTTAGATTGCATTAAGGCCTTTTAAATCTGTATTTACTTCATTAACCTTTCTTTCTTTTTTAAAAAAAATAACCGTAAGCGAGTGCAGCGATTTTCATGGTGTGATCTCTTCAATTTCGATTCTGACTTTGCTAAAAGAAATGGCACCAGACTCACCCATTTAATAAACAGGACTTATACCACCTCCCTGATTTCGCCTCTGGCTGAGCATTCATACCATCATTTACACAACCCAATTTTCCAGTGCAGAGCACAACTCCTCTTCGATTTCCTTTAATACTCTCCATTGTATCGAATCCCAAACGTAGTCTTTCTTGCCCTTAAGAAACAGAGCTATTACTTTGTGGTAGCATAGTTTGTTCATCTCTCATTATGTCAGGACTGGTTTTTTTCTCCCTTCTGTGTGTGGCTGGGTAGATAAATCAGCCAACAACACAGCAAATTCCTGACGTACACGTGGATAGAACCACGTTTCCATCACGCAGTTGACCTTTCCTACATCTTCCTTCACTGCCCACCTGGTACGGTGGGGGCCTGGCCGCGTGGACTGCACATGTCACCGCAGGCCCTCTCTGCCACTTGCTGACTGACCGGTTATACACTGTTGCTGGGCCTTGCTCTTCTCCTGTTCCTCAGCAGTGAGCGAGCCAGGGGGTTGCAGCCCCCAGCTTCGGGTTTCTGAGCGCAACCGCAGTAGACGCGGTGTTTTGAGCTCATCATCTGGAATTAAGGCCTTTTGCAAGGCGAAAATGTCGGTCCTTGCCATTTTTCCTCCAGGGGAACTTGAACCCACGCGTGTGTGTGTGTGTGTGTGTGTGTGTGTGTGCGCGCGCGCATGCGCGCGCAGCGAAGCAGGGGGCACTAGGCTGAAACCCTGCAGTAGGGTGGGGAGGAAGAGGTCTCCGGGTGAGAAGCAAATCCAGCCCAGAAAGGGGCCGCAGGATTCTTTTACAATCTCTTGGTGAACCGCGAACAAACACTAACTGATCACACGGTGCGTCCCCCTCGGACCTTCCCAGTGCTCTACCCCTCGCAGCCACATACTCTCCCGCCAACCCACCTGCACGCGCCGCCTCCCCCCTCCGCCCGCGGGGGTCGGGGGGAACGACCGACGCCTCGGCCCACGTGACGTGCATTCGCCTTCCCGGCAAGCACCGCTCCGCAGCCATTGTAAGAGACAACCCTGCTGCTATTATAAAAATAGAGGAAAAAAAATGAATCCGTATCAACAAATCCTTTACAAAAACCATAGTATGAAGAGAAGTTCTATCCAAACTCTTTACACATTATGTACCCTTTAAAATTGTTATGTAAACAATACACAAATCAAAGTTTCTCTGCAATTTTGTCGGAGGGGATGTTCCCCCTCCGCCGCCGGTGCCGTGCGGCCCTCTCCCGCGGCTCGACTCCAAGCCGGGTCCTCGGGGGAAGCCGATCCGGGCGGCGGGGAGGGCGGGCCGCCATCTTGCTTTGGTCGCAGGCCCGCACGACTGTGTCCTGGGGCCCGACTGCGGAGGCGGCGTCGAGGCGCTCCCAGGCCCGAGGCCTCCGCCTCCCTCCCGCGGCTCTCGCGGCTCTTCCACCTCTTCCACGGCGGTGCTCTTTTTGTTCTCTTCTGCCCCTCCTTCCATCCAGGAGGCCACCTGCGCTCCCTCGCTTCCCTAGAGACCCCCTCCCCACCCCGCACACCAAGCCATCCCGTGACAGAAACAAATGACAAAATTACCACTCCCCGGTCTACTGATATGTTTACAAGGACGACCTACGCTCTCACAAAATCAAAATGGGAGAGGGACCAGGGGAAAAAAAGGCTGCAAAGGATCTCGGAGGATTCCGTGCAACCCTGAAGATGGTTGACACTGGACCCGCAGCAGTCGATTTCACGGCCAGCGCGGTCACTCTCATCTTCAGCTTCTAGATTGTGGAGGTCCGGTCAACCCCGTCTGGGAGAGAGAGAATACACGATGGGCACAGGTGAACAAAACCGTTTCTTCACGTCCTTCCTGGTGTCCGAAGACAGGTAAGGGCCCAACTTACTCATCCGCTCACTCCCTCGTTCACACACCCACCCACTCAACATCTGGAGAACAGCCATCTTTCCAAGAGCTGTAAAGAGCCTGGGAATCCACGTGAAGAGACCTAGTCCTCTCACATGCTAGTCGGGACAGACACGTAAAGCCACAGTGATGGAGGAGTGATGACTGCTATGATGGAGTATGTACCGGGCACAGCAGGAACGTGGAGGAAGGGCTATGTAAGGTGCCCCTGGAAGTCAAGGGCAGTTTCACAGAGGAAGAAAATGACTTTTGTAAGATGGTGCTGGTAGCAGAAGAGAGGAGGAGGCAGAAAAGGGAGAGGGTGAGGAGGGCGTCCAGCTCACGCTTACGTGTGATGTTGGTTGTCAGATGGTGGGGTCTGAGGGCTGGATGGAGGTCTAGGATGAGGGGTGGGGGGATGGAGGAGTGGCAGGAGATGTGCCGAAGAGCTGGCACAGGCTGGCAGCAGGACATGCAGGTGGACCTGTCCAGCTTACACCCCTTTGGCAGCATCTCTGTGTCACCGAGTCCCTGTTGAAAGACTGGGCATGAGGTGGCTATGACTCTGAGCCCTGGTCACAGCTGAGCAGACCAGGGGTATGCATCTGACCCGCAATGATCCAGCTTCTCAGCCCCAAGAATCTGATTCGGGGTACACACCATCATTAGAGGTTGTGGGCACGGGGAACTGAAAGATCCTGTGAAAGTGGGTGAATGCTGAGGCTACGGAGGGTAGGCCATGTCTACATTATGGAGAGTTGGTGAAACCAGGCTATAACATGGAGGAGGTGCGTGTCAGAGACAGAGGCTAGGAGTGAAACAGACTGCAGAGGGAGCTGATGGCCGCCCAGCTCCTTTTCGGTTGTCTGCGTGCACATGGGACTATAGGAGAGTCCCCACCCCAGAATGAGGCCATAAGGGTCTTGTGTGCTATGAACAGGGTCTTGGACTTGGTAATCGGGGCATTATAAGCAGAGTAATCAGATCTGATTTTAGAATGGTTTCTCTGGCAGTTGACCTAAAAGAGGACACGGCTCGTGGCAGGAGGACCCCAGTAGTGGTCCATGCTGGGGATTGTCTGCAAGGGCTTACCCAGTGAACAGAGAGAAGCATGGGTTAGCCACTGTAGTAGGTAGAAGCAGCTGTGTTCAGTGACCACGAAATGAAGGCCGGGGGAGGGATGCAGGAGGCCTCCCTGGTTTTACTGATACCCAAACATCAGCAGGTGTGTCCTGATCTAAACGATGTGACAAACCTGGTCTACCAGGAGCATCTAGATGCGGCAGGCAGGACTCACGTGAGAGGTGAGTGGCACAGTGTTCAGGGAGAGCTGTGGGACCTAAGTGATAGGGAGGAATGCCGAGTACACTGCACAGGCCTGGCTTCCTCTCATGGGTAGGTTCACATACAGTTTTAAGAGACGGTACCGGGTTTCCGGGTTTGCTGGGTTTCTCCCAATGGTAACATTTTGCAAAACTATAATATTACCACCAAGGTACTGATGTTGATACAATCTACCGGTCTTACTCAGATCTTCCCAATTTTATTTGTACTTGTGTGTGTCCCTAAAGTTCCATATAGTTTTTGGAGAGATTTTAAAGAAGAAAAGCAAATGACCTTTGAGAGTGTTTATGGTATCAGGTCATCAATCCTAGAGGCCCCCACATGTTAACTTATAATCAGTAACCTTTTGCTGACTTTTGCAAGTGTTAACCTGAGCCTCTTTTTTTTTTTTTTTTTTTTTTTTTTTTTTTTAATTTTTAAAAAAATGTTTCATTATTTATTTTTGAGAGGGGGGGGGTAGAGGCAGAGAGAGGGGAGACACAGAATCTAAAGTAGGCTCCAGGGTCTGAGCTGTCAGCACAGAGCCTGACGCGGGGCTCGAACTCACAAACCGTGAGATCATGACCTGTGCCGAAGTCGGACGCCAACCAGCGGAGCCACCAGGGCCCCTAACCTGAGCCTCTTATGGTGGTTCTGCAGTGGTAATGGGTCATGAGAAACAGTGAGTCTGTGTAAGTGTGTACATAATGTGTGGCTGTGTAGAGGTCACTCTCTTGTCTATGGAAGTGGAGTGGCACACTCTTGCCAGGGCTCACCGGTCTACTCATTAATGCCAACCCTTCATAGCTGTGTAAGTAGGGAGCTAGAAACATGAAAATCTTAATTAACCTAACCCCAACCTGCATTTTTACTGAATTCCAATCCCACGCCTCATCGTACAAGGGTGATGGCATTCATCTGCCAGGAAATGACCAACAGGTAAGTCCAGACTCACCATTTACAGTTGTGCAAGTTGTGCACTGCATAACTCTGAGCAGCACCATTCACATGTATTCATTATAGGTTTTATAGTTATTATGACAAATATCAAGTAAGTGGCAGAACAGCATCTTGAGAAAGTGGAGCCTTTTTCTAATTTGCACAAAGTCTCCATATCTGCTAGAAGTAGGGCTGTTAATAAGTCCCAAGGAGGAGGAAGGAGAGAAGGTGAGAAGGAATGGCAAGGGGATCATGTGAAAACATGAATCCTGGAGCATCAGAGAGTGGACTGGGCATTCCTCTTTGTGGTAGGATTTACTGCAGACTTCATCCTGCTTGAAGGAGCCTTGCTTTTGTAAAGCTGTGGCTGTTCCTGCCCATAAAACCCCTCTGCAGGAGGAAGATAGCAGCCAGGCCTGAGTCTTCCTTTATATCTGAGGCCACCAATCAGGAGCAGGCCCAACAGAGCCGGATGAAAGCCTTAAATATTCACAAACCAAGATGGCTGAGGCAACTACCTCCTGAGTGCTTTGGAGGGGCCAGGGGAAGGGCAAAGCAGAGACAGACAGGGAAGGCCAAAGAGAAAAATGGCTTAGACTGGCACAGGGGGGCTGCAGTTAGTGCAGGACACTGAGAGCAGAGATGTCAGCACAAAAGGTTGGGCCCGCAAGGCCTGGGGTCCATGGACCATCCTAGTATGTGGTATCCCAGGAACTTGGACACCCTCCCTTCCTGTCCTGAGACACAGGCAGAGGAACGTCTTTTGCTTTGCTTTACTCTCTCTCATTATTTGTCCTCCTGTAAAATGACTAATTCATTGGCATTCTGTCCCCAGAAAAGTCATCTTCCCCAGCACCTGGAAGAGGTGGGCTAGCAGAGAGGTGCCGTAATAGTGGGAGGGCTCAATGCCACTGTGCCCAGTTGGGCCACCCTGAACTTAATTTGCATTCCTTGCTCGGGAAACTGCTTACGAGGCTTCCCACCAGAGAGGATTATTGAGGGAAAACATAGCAATAAAAAGGCTTAGGAGATTAACAAGATGAAAACATTAGCAAAAAAAATCAGTTCAAAGAGGTTTTCTGTAACTATAGAAGAATAGGCTAAAAAACGAAGCCTTTCCAATGAAAACCTCCCTTTAATAAAGCGCATTTGGCACTCTTGCTACTAATGATGATAACGTTAGCACTTAGCAGTTTGATAAGGGCTTCCAACATGCCAATTATCTGAGATATATCAAGCCCTGGGGGAGAAGGTCAGTTCTCCTTGCTGACTCTCAAAGGCAGCAGGAGTTCTTCACCTGCCAGCTCCTGCTGGGTGGCGGGGAGCTTGGGCTGCCTGCAGTGGGCTGAGCTTGGCCTGAATTCTCACGGTCTGGGAGGCTTCCCTTTTTGAAAAATTGAGTTGTAATTTGCATATCACAAATTTCACCCTTTTAAAGCGTACAATTCAGAGGTTTTTCGTATATTCACAGAGCTGTGCAGCCATCACCACTATCTAATTCCAGAACGTTTTCATCAGGTACCCATCAAGCAGTCACTCTCCGTTCCCAGTTCCCTCTGGCCCCTGACAACCACTAATCTATACTGTCTGTCTCTATAGATTTGCCTGTTCTGGACACTTCATAAATTCCTAAATGGAATTAGATACTGTGTGGCCTTTTGTGTCTGACTTCTTTCATATAGCATAATGTTTTCAAGGTTCATCCAAATTGTAGCATGTATCAGTAGCTCATTCCTTTTTAAGGCTGTATGATATTCCACTGTCTGGCTATACAACATTTCACTCATCCACTTCCATCTGCTGATGGACCCTGGGTTTGTTTCCCATTACTCATTAGGGGCTATCAGTGAGCTGACCCAATCTCCTTGGTGAGCTGGAGAAGAGGAGCTCATGGCACCTCCCCTATAGAGGTGTCAAGGATGGACCAATGATGCTGTGAAGCTTCTAAGATAGGAGTGGCCAAGTGTTTGCAAATGGGGTTCCTGGAACCCCAGGGAGGTCACATCGGGAGCTGTGCCTTCCCACTGTCTGTTCAGTCAGCAGTGCTGGGAGGCCTTCAGCTAGCTCCCTTCTGGTACTGAGTGGAGGCTTTCTCTGGGCTATAGAGAACCTTGCACAGCTGAGATCAGGTGGGTGCAGTCCTTGCTTTCCAATCTGTTCCATGTAGAGCATTTATTGGCCTCATATTTGGTGTCATGATAAGATTGTGTTTACAGGGGCTAAAAATCCAAAAACCCCTGGTTAGGAGAACGAAGCTTGGGGAACAGCAGCTGACAGCAGCCTTTCTCCCCACCACTGCCAGATAGCACAGATTTTGGCTCTAGGTGTGCTGACCGCCCATCTCCAGGGTGGGTGAGCACATCCTGACTGGAGAGGGCTATTGGGAAGGGTCACAGGAGGCCTCTCTGACTCAGAGTCTCCCGGAGGTTGGCAGGAAGGGGTGGACATCTCTCCTCTGCCTGCCAAACATCCCTAGGGCTGGCTGGGAAACCAGGCTGGAGTAAGGCAATTGGTTAGTACCAGGAGGGCACTGAAGGCCTCCTGGGGTTTTTGTGATGACGTAGGGCTTCAGCCCAAACAAATGGTGGGACAACGCAGCTGCTTCTGGAGCTCCTTATGGGGCTGTAGCCCATAGGCACACTGAACTAGATCATCACTGTCACACTGTGAAGGACATCTCAGACTGCTTGGGGCTCCAGGCATCATGGAAGCCGTTTGGAACAGGGAGACAGAAAAACAAGCAGGGAATTTTGTTTCAAAAATTCTATTTTTAGAGCAAGCTGGGATATGCTTGGACCAGACTGGGAGATCTAGTGCCGAGAAGGAAAGAATCCAATTCTGTGGCGGGGGGGATGTTGCCACTAAAAGCCATGTCTTGTGTTTCTGACTCCTCCAGCTCACAGCGTTTGGCTAGGACAGCTGCTGTGGTGGAACCTCAGTGTGCACTGGGTGGGTGGCTCCGAGCAAAGATGGATAGCTTTGGTCTCCAGGTCCCTGACCCACCTCCCAGAAAAGGAGGAGCAGGGCGCTGTGGGTACTAGGTGTAGTATGGCTTGATGAGGCTCTAACAGTACTCTGAGGCCCTCCTCTCTCCCTGTCCCCTGCCTACTTCCCCTGTATCTTTCCCATTAGTCCTGAGCTACTGCCAGAGTGTGGACAGCAAATGATTGGTAGTCCTCCCAGTCAGGCCATAAAATGCAGGAAGGACCCACTCACCTCCCAGGGCGTGCTCGGTCATACTGAGGCACAAGGACTCCAGCCTATTGTTGATGTCAGGTTCAGTCACAGGAAGCTGGAATTCTGCAAGGGACAAAGGGTTATGTTGGTGACAGAGACTCTGAGAACAAGGAGAAGGTATGTACAGTGCTGTGGGGCTCCCCCCTCCCCCACCCTGGGAGGACTCCGGGGATTATCAGGGTCAGTAGAGCGGTAAGTTACACCCTGGTTTCAACCAAACTCTGAGTCTGCTAGATGCAGAGAGTCCATTGTGAACATGGGCGGCTGGAAGAAAACTGGTAACTAAAAATAGCTGGTCACAGTCAGTCTGTCCAGCCTCTGCTCAGAACCCTCCAGCAGCTTCCCATCAGAGTAACAGCCAAGCCCCTGCCATGGCCCTCAGGGCTCACATGATCTGGCCTATATTAACCTCTGCCTGTGTATGGCTCTCTCCTTCCTTCACTCCATCCCAGGCCTTCTTCTGCCCCAGGGACTTGGCACTGCTGTTCTCTCTGCCCACAATGGTGGTCCCTAGATATTTTCATGGCTGTGCTCTCCCTGCCTTCACATCTCTGGCTCTCCTACTGTCTCTTTAGAAAGGACATTATATATGAACAGAACTTTTCTGGCCCTATCCCTTTCCTCAGCTTTATTTATTTTTGTCCACAGCTATCACCAACATCTGATATATTATGTATTTGCTTGCTGCTTGCCCCCAGTTGGATTTTCACTTCACTGGAGCAGGACTTGGCTCTGCTGCTACCTGCGCCTAGACCTGGCACCTGGAACTTGGCGCATTTTTGCTTTGTTACAAGGAAATGGAAACCACAGCATGGTGAGTGCCTCTTCTGAATCCATGACTGTGCCAGGTGCCCAGTTCTCAAGCGAGACTCAGAGAGGCCAAGTGACTTGGGAGGTTAGCTCGCTAACACAAGAGCCCACAAAGGTCTGATTCCAGAGCTGGTACTGTCCTGCATGCTGCAGCAACTACAGGTGCCTGTCAGTACTCTCAGCCTCTAGCCACTTAGAAGGGCTGAGATGTCTGCTGTGGGGGCTATCACTGCCCAAGACAATGCTGTGTGCATTCTAATCACAAAGCCTCCTTTATCATCTGGACCCTCCCTATGTCCCCAGGCTCCAGTCCCTCATCCTCCCCACCCCTTCTCCTCCTCCTCCCCCTCCTCCTCCTCCTCCTCCTCCTCCTGTTCTGTTGGGGCCCTCACTGTCAGTACCTCCCCCATCCCTCATCCTGGGAAGCTCCTGAGCATCTTTCACTGGCTTGCAGACTTTTTTATTTCCCATAATATACCCAGCCATGGTCTTCTGGCATACTTCATACATGTCTATTGAGTGATGAAAAAGATGGAACAAGAAATAAAAGGAAAGTCTGACAACTAAGAATTGTGAAATCCTATGGCGGGAGTGGGGGTGGGGGCAGAAAAATCAACAATGGGATATGTTCTGGGGGTCTGGGAATTTTAACACTGCCACTGTCTTCATATGTGACCGCAGGAAACTTCTCATCATTGTGCCTTAGCTCTTCCATCTGTTAAGTAGGGAAAGGATCCTGGTGGCCCAAGCTTCAGGCCAGTTCCTTGCTCCTTCGAATCTCCACCAGGGGGCACTTGGGGCTGGAGGGCAGGATTACAAGTGAGGTTAGGTTGGTGGTTTAGTGGGATAGGAAGTTGAAACCAATGGCTAAACCAAAGTATTTGTTTTCCTTGATTAGCTATACATTTAAGTTTTCTCTGCAATCTGTGTTCCCCATTACTGGCTAATTCACAGGCAGATGTCATTTCCATTGTTTAAAATTCTCAGAGTAAATTGGCAAAATGGATCAATATGAAAAGCACTAGGGAGCAGATAGGGTTCTTTCTGACACAAGTTCCAGCCAGCATCAATGGTTTTGAAAGGCAACTGTGCCAATTTATGAGCAGACAGAGGACGATCAGGCTTCCCAGGAAGCTGGGAGCCAGGGAGAATTGAAGGGTCTTTCCCACCCCACCCACTGTTGCTCTCAGAGTAGGGTCGGGGCAATTAGACAATCCAGAGGGAAGAGTATTTTAGTATTTTCATCCATTCATGTGAAAATCATATGCATGCAAAATTAGCAGCCTTCAGGGTGTGAAATCTATAAAATAGAAACACAGTTTTATATATAGCCAGTTAGCAAATATGAAAAAAAAAACCCTCAGCAATTATAACCATCCATATGCTCATTGTAAAATTTAGTTTACTCTCTAGCACTCCCCTTTAAACAAACACTGTGGAGAGATTTGGATAAATAAAGATGCTCGACATTTGGAGAGAAGTGTTTCAGCTGCAGGATTTCTTGCCAACACGCAGCAAAATGCCATATTCTAAGCCTAGGACTGAGTGTTTCAAAAAGGGGGCTGAGAAATGCAGGGCTCTCCACTCTAGAATCTCCAAACCTTAGTGGCTGCTCTTTTAGGTTGAAAGTTGGCATGGTTCTTTTTATCTTTCAGCTCTTCCCTCTGGTGCGCTAGGGTGTCATGACCCCCCCCACCACTCTCAGAGTGGCTCTGAAAAATTCTGAGTCTCAGGAGAAGCCCATATGTTCACACTCCAGAGTTTCCTAATAGTGTGACTTTTTAATTGTGTATTTGATAAAAACAGATCTGTGGCATCTCCCCACACATACAAGACAGAGGGAGACCAGCTGGGTGGATAACAGCTTCCATCTCAGGCTAGAAGCCCTCAGCCAAGTGTGGCTTGGGTGGGCAGAACTCTTAAAGCCCGAGAGAAGCATTTGGGCAGCTCCTGCCACCCAGGTACACAAGAACCAGCAGGCCAGCTCTTGCTGTGGCTGCTGTTAACCCAAGGGCTCACTGCATTTAGCCTGAGCTCCCAGCTGTAATGGACAAGGCAGACGTAGTTTTATGTCTTCAGTAAGGTAAAAAGGAAAGACTGACTAAGCCTTCTCTGCTGTTGCATGCAACAGGCCTGTTTCCTTAGCTCAGACGGTATCTCTGAGAACTAGGAATTTTTCCCCTATCAGACCATTCCAGTATTTAGTGAGGATCCCCTGTTCTAGGATGCCCAGGGTTTAGGCTGATGTGGGACTTTCTAATTGTGCCTTTCCAAAAGTCCCATAAGTACAGAGCCTAGTGCTCAGGCCCAGGGTCAAGAAGATTCTGGAAGGGGGGTGCCTGGGTGGCTCAGTCAGTTAAGCATCCGACTCTGGCTCAGGTCATGATCTCACTGTACGTGAGTTTGAGCCCCGAGTTGGGCTCTGTGCTGATGACAGCTCGGAGCCTGGAGCCTATTTCAGATTCTGTGTCTCCCTCTCTCTGACCCTCCCCTGTTCATGCTCTGTCTCTCTCTGTCTCAAAAACAAATAAACATTAAAAAAACATTAGATTCTGGAAGGGAGCAGCCACCCATTCCTAATGAAGTGCTGCTGTTGGGTCCACCTGCGGGGGAGGTGGGGTGGGGATGTGGCTTTTCCTTGTCAGAAACCAGCCATCTCAGCTGAGTGTCTGCTATGTGGCACCTATGGTGCAATTCTGCAGCTCTCTCCCAGTCCCTGAGGCTGAGGTAAACAGGCCAGTGTCTTTAGTACTTTATAATAATACATGGAGTATTCTAGGAAAAATCTCTAGAATCCCAATTTGCCAATGATAGTTAAGACCACCTGTTGAATAACTAGGAAGGCTTCAAGTTAAGTGAGAAGTGGGATTGCTGGGAGGAGAGAAATCAGGGAGGTTGATGAGGATGGGACAGAGGATGGAGAAGTGGGATCTGGACTGGATAAAGGGAATAAGGAAGAAAGGGAAACAGGGAGTATGGGAGCCAAGCAGAAAGGGGAGGGCAGTAACAGAAGGAAAAGAAATCAGTGTGGGCAGGGACACTGATCATTGCAGAGACAGTCATGGCGGTCATGGCGGGTGACAGAGGAACAGGAGTAAGTCAGTCGCACACCCCTGAGTCTGCTATGGGGAATGAAGCTTTTCTCTGGTGGCCTAATTCCTAAACCTGCAGAAGTTTGTGCTGTAGAAATCCTCTGGGACCCACACGTTTATGCAAAATGATGAGGAGAATATGGTATAAGACAATATTGTACTATCTTGCCCCAGATTGGACTGAGTTTAACTTTCAGACGCGGAACACAGGCCCAGCTGGGTTCTTAGCTGTGATACAACTGATTCATTTACCAACCTCCCTGTTATCTGCCAATCCTGAGCAGGACTGTTTGCCTTGGCTTACCAGAAGTCAGAGAGCAAATGTGCATCAGATACTTTAAGTGGGTCCCTGTTCTGGTCACTTCCTCTGCATGGCAGTCCCTTCCATTCCCCTAATGGACCTAGTGGGTGGATGGTAGTCTTCCTTTCCACACTCTTTCAAAAGGTAGTTCTCTGGAAGGAACCTGAAACTTCCACTGAGGAGGAAATGAATGGTAACAGCTTTGTGCACTGTGCTTCCAGGTGTGCATCATTCTGATTGTGGAAGAAATACAGTCATGAGCTGGTGCATAGGGGAGGTTTGCTATGGTGAACAGATATATCATATCATGAAATGCTGCCCTGTAAGGCCCCTTATTCATCTCCCATCTGGACAGTCGAGCACCAATGGTAGTTTGCACATGGTGTTGTGCAAGGGAAGGAAGAAATCCCCAGAATGTGGCTCTATGAGGCTGCCTAACCTACCCTTCCCCATACTTTTCTTTTAAAGTTGGCTTCTGGTCCCTCTGCCCTTTCTTTCAATTTTTTTTTTTCAACGTTTATTTATTTTATTTTTGGGACAGAGAGAGACAGAGCATGAACGGGGGAGGGGCAGAGAGAGAGGGAGACACAGAATCGGAAACAGGCTCCAGGCTCTGAGCCATCAGCCCAGAGCCCGACGCGGGGCTCGAACTCCCGGACCGCGAGATCGTGACCTGGCTGAAGTCGGCCGCCTAACCAACTGCGCCACCCAGGCGCCCCGACCTCTGCCCTTTCTTGTCAGGCCCTCCAGATGGTTAGGAGCTTTGATGGCCTAGTGTCACATCAGGGCTGTTTTGAGATCCTCTCTGACTGGATCTCAAGGGTTGGCTGAGCCTGGGTCAGCAGGAAAGATCTGCTTCCAAGGTAAGGTAATCACTCTCCAAGCAATTTTCAAACGAATTTTCCAGTTTGGAAAACACCCTGCCTTTTGGGGAAACATGATGTCACTCACCAGGCACGACACTTGTTTTGAGCTCAAACAACCCCTCTGGTGAGTTTATCAGATCCCCTCCCCCTTGCTCTGAGAGGACCAGCTTAGTGCTTCTTACTCACACCGGAGGCCATTGAGAGGCAGCAGTCACTTAACGGCTCTCCTGGTTTGTCCTGGGAAACATCTAAAATCTGTCTCTGTGGGAGTAAATTAAAAAGCCACCCTGACATGGCCTCCTAGGGGTCCACAAATCCTGTAGATCCAGGAAAGACGACATTATCTTGCAGATTCAAGCCAGGTGACTGATCAGTTGATGCAAAAGTTGGGGGCTTGTTCTAGCCCCCAGACTTTGGAGACATTTAAAGTCTTCCACCATTTTAATGGAAGTATTTAAGTTTACAGAATTGAAACTTCCTTAGAATGTATTATAGTTTCCAAGATTTACCCATATGGTTTAAAATGGATGCTCTGAAGACCTCTAATGGCCAGGAGGAAGCCACTATGCTATACTGTAAACACAGTTTTCTAAGTATTTAATTTGGGGTTGATTATACATCTCTATTCCATTTTGTGTTCACTACTACTCCTACTTGTGTAAAGATGAAAGCCACTGGCTGCTTTTCAGATTTTGACTCCTTGATATGATACTTAGAGCTTAGTCCCGCCCCCCCCCTCCCCCTCCCCAGCCACCAGCCCCTAGATCCCTGCCTAGTTAACAAGGATGTGCTGCTCTGGGTGGAAGGGCCCAAGAGACCCCGTCTATCTAGGACAACTTCATCTGGGTCTGGCTATGGCAGTTAGATGGGCCTGCCCTATGAAGGAGGCTGTCTCCTCAGGAAGAAGCAAGAGTTCTGGTTATGACTTCTGGTCTTGAAAACCAGTGTCTGATCTGTAAGGGGCAGGGATGACCTTGGAGACTGAAGAGGAGCATCCCTCCGCCCATGACAGTGACTTTGTGGAGGCTCTGTTCCCTTTAGCCAGGGATCCTGAGTCATGGCTGTGCCCTGCCTCACCCTTCATGACCATTCCCAGGAAGAGCCGCCCAGCGTGGGCTGAGTGTGCTAGTCAGGACTTAGGAGTGGCTCCTGCCGAGTACTCACCAGTGTATTTGCAGTCAGGAAATCTGGAGTAGCCCTGTCCCCATGCCTTGGCTATTATTAGAAATGCCGGGGTTCATCAGACCCTTGCTGGAGGTGGGTTTGTAATGCTTATGCTAGAGGCTAATTTAATCCCCCTTTTCCAAAAAAGTCCTCAAGCAGTTTCTGGAATGCTAAGTCTAGCATACAAAGAACATTATTTAGAGACTTCTGGGTTAACTACCAGGAAAACTGAAAATCCTTGTAAGTAGCTGCCTCTGGGAGATGAGACTGTGGGCTGGGAGGGGGAGGGGAAAGGGGCAGTCACTTTTTCTTAAAAGCCCTCCTGTATTATTTGATTTTTTAACTATGGGAATAACAGGCTTCATGGGAAGAGCATGCAAATGATCTTAGGGTCATAGTTGCCCTGAGCATGAGCAAGCAGCTCACAACTGCTCTACGACAGCAGAGGGGAAACAAAAATGCAGGTGGGAGATCTGTATCTACAGACTCAAACAGTCTTCCTAGGGATGGCCCAACTCTTCCTGGTGGGCCTGGTCTTCCCAATTATGACAGGGAGAATGTGGGGAAAAAGAGAGGACTGAGGACTTGGAAGAGAGCCAAAGGAAGGGATAAGAGCTTTAGAATGGAGCAAGGAGGCTACAAGTATATAGGGATTGAAGGAGAAGGAGAGTGGTCAGCTATGCTAGGGCTCCTGTGAGGCTATGAGGTGGTTGGGCTGCAGTCCCAGGACTGAGGTCAGGATGAAAGATCTCCTTGTACCCAGCATGTCTCCCAATATTGTCTAGATTCTCTTATTGGGAATGGATTACACATGAGTCTGCACCAAAACAGAGACTGGGACTAAATGACCTAGGGAGAAGACCTTCGGAGTCCCTAAATTTTATCAAATATTTCTTCCCAGGAAGTTATAAGTATCAAAACAGAGAAAAGGAGCTTTAAAACAAAAGTATGCAAAGAGGAGAGGTTCTAGAAGTCAAGAAGCAACCTCAAGCAAGCATCTGGACTGTCGTCCTTTCCTGACACACCTTACCTTGTGGTGGCTTCTCACTTCCCTTCCTCCTCAGTGTCTCCCCACCTCCTCGAGGCACACGCCTGCTCAAAATCTTCCATACATTCCTCACTGAGAATGGCTGGGGCCTGAGCTCCTTGGCCTTGGATTCAGAGCCCTCATCATCAGCCATAATCTTTCCAGTTCCCTTGGTCTGCTCTCTGCTACTTCAGTCTGACCCTTTGACTTAGCCACGGCTTCTGGAACTCACTGAGATAGTACAATTGCAGTCTTGCTCTCTTCACTCCTTCTGCCTGCAACTCCACCCTCCTCTTTCCACTTCACCCCCTGTCGCCTGAAGCTCAGCTCCAGTTCCAAGAAGCTTTCTTGCCCACCCAGGCCACAGTGACATTTCCTCTCCTTAAAGTTCTATAAGACTTAACTGTACAGAGTGTGTCTACTGCCTAGGGTGGGTGTTTTCCTATAGGTACAACACTGGTTCCTGATTTTCCTGCCTAGAAGGTCACCTAGCTAGATATAGTAATTGCTTCCATGGCTTTATAGGACTCATGGAGTCTTAAGAGGTCGCTGTCTGCATAGATGAAGTGTGCAAGCAATTGTTGTCTGTGCATAATTCTGGCTACTCTGTTTTAGGAGGCTCATGGTGAGATGTGCAGCTGACTTGAAGTGCACCAAATTGCTCTTTAACCAAGTAAAGGGAAGATGGCTGGTCCAATAAGTCATGTTTGCAAGGCGCTCCCAAACCAGGGGAAGTCTCTTCGTGCTAATGCTGTCAAGTTTTCTCTTTCTCTGTCTCACTTCCTGCACATCCCCCCACGTATACACAAAGTACACACACACTACACATGGAACCCCTCCCAACTCCCCCAAATAGCCCTCCAGTGATAACTCTGGTTTAATCAATCTAGAAATATGACTAGTATCAAAAATATCCCCGTCAGATTGCAACCGACTCTGGGGCTCCATGTGCTGGCTCCCAGCCAGCCAGCCGCTATTCATGCTGGCAAGGCACAGTTTAAAAAAGGAAAGGCTTCTATAAGCTCAAAAGAATGCGTGGTGACAGTCGAGGCTAAGCACTTTCCGGCTGGGTTCACAGGGGCATCTATTTTGGCTTCCTGGCCTCCCCTGTGTCAGGGGGAGGAGAGAGGGAGAGATCAAGTGCATGGACCTACCTGGCTGCTGGAACATCAGCATATTCTGTGGAGAAGTGTGCACAGGCAACGAGCGGGTCCTTTGGACTGAGCTGTGGGTGCGGCTTGGCATGCTGTTGCTGCCCCCAGGATTGGCAAACCAGAGGTTCTAATGAGAAATGCAAAAGGGGAACCATTAGTCCAGACAGGGGAGGGGGTGCAGAGCAGGGCTACCGGCCAGAATTCAAGAGGCAAATACCCCTGGAGAACTCTTTGCTAACTTCTGGAAAAAGGCTTGCAGGCTACCCATCTGCATATTTATAGAGAGGGGGTTTAGATTCCATTCATTTTTATCCCCCTCTCCAAGCCCCGGGCCTCTCTAAGCCCCAGCTTAATCTGGACAGCTCTCTCCCTTACTATCTCCAAAACTCTTTTTATCCCTTTTGTTGCCTTTGCTTTTCCTATCACTTTTTTTCAGGGATGGGAAGAGTTCTATAAATGTTTGCAACGAAGAGCACAAACTATTTCAAGGCTCTCATTTGATTTTCCTTTTGAGATTCTTACAACTTACTACAAAGCGAGGGGGAGAAAAAAGAATCTTTCAGCTGGCAACGAGCTGGCACACTTAGCTTGCGTTTATTATCACGCGGGTGTCCTAGTGGTGACTTCCTCTTGAACTGATTTGGGGCTTCCCACAACAGTCAGATAGTGGGGCTCTCTCATACCTTGTCCTGTCCCCTGGGGCATAAATGCTGCCCATTTTGCCTGGAGCTGTTTTCCTGTTTTTAAACCAATCTGCCATCCCTAAGTTCCTCATGACAACCCAGGCCCACTTGTGTCCCTCTACTCCCAGCCCCAACCTGCAGAGCCCCACAGAGCTGGGCACACAGGTGCAATGCATTGGGTGGGGTAGGGAAACAGGACTTTGGGGTGAGGAGCTTTGGGACGGAAGTCAGCTCTATGCCGCATAGCAAAGACCTCTGGGCAGCCTGGCCTTGAATAGGCAGAGAATGTTCCAGCTCTCCCTCTGGTAGCCTCTCTTAGGCTCCTCTTTGGATTCTCCACCACAGCTGGGACCGTGACAAAGGAGCTATCTTCCATGAATAAAAAGGCTGAGAAAGCTCCTTAGATGCTCAGGTTCCTCTGGAACCCAGATCTGGGAGGTGTTGAGGTCTGCTGGGTCAGGTAAAGGAGCCAGGCAAATGAAAGATAGGTCTCGCAGTGCTTCCTCAAGGCCCCCATGTGCAGGGCCCACACAATTAAAGGTTAACGTGGTTATAGGGCGTCTTAAATAAATCCACATGAAGCCAGGTACAGCCATGTAATTGCTGTGTCTCCCAGAGAAACAGTGCAAACAGCTGGTTCCCTCCCGGCATAGGGCCACGTGTATCTCATTGCGGCCTTCCCTTGGCCTCTCCACTCACCTCGGGGGTCATGTGGGGGTAGGTCCTGAAGCCTCAGGCCCTGAGCCTGGCTGCCCACCCTTCTTCTTGGGGCAGAACAAACCTGTCTTCCTTGTTTCATGATGGCGGGGTTGGCTGTGGTGTTGCGCTGGGTGGAGCTGACAAATCCACTGGTACCCAAGAGGCCAAGGCGGGCAGAAGGGACGTTCCGGGAGGGGATCTGGTACTGGCGTGGGTTCCGTCTGCCCATACCACCGCCTACAGAGCTGGGTGTCGGGAGGGAGTTGGACTGCCCAAAGCCGCGACTGTGAGAGGGAACAGAGAAGAATGGGGAGACTGTCAGTCACCCTTAGCCCTTCCCAAACCCAGGTTGCCAGTGGGATGCCTCCTTGGAACCTGCCTACGTTTTGACAGTCGTGAGATCTATCTAGGGGCAGGGGGTGGTTCTGTGCCAGGAAAGGGCTATGATTAAAGTGACAGCTAAGAGACATCCGAGAGTGACTATCATGTGCACCATCCTGGGACTATCACGTTAATTCTTCAGTTAATTCTTCAGTTAATTCTTCAGTTCTCACGACAACCCTACGAAGTAGGTGCTCTATCCTCTGTTACAGCTGGAGAAATAAAACAGGGAGCTTAACAATTTTGCAGAGGTCACACAGACAGCAGGCGACAGCGCTGCAATATGTGCCTAGGAAGTTAACCAGGGTGCTCTTCAGCTTTCTTCCGTGCTGGATTCCAGGGCCCTGAGTGCTCACTTGCCCATCAAGAAGCCACACAGCACAAAAGCAGCCGAGCCAGGATCAGTGCTCCTTCCGTCACACCACAGTCTTTCTGATGTCTGTCTGTATGGCACACTTGGAGGGAGTAGCCAGTGAGCCCCACTAAGATGTAAGCTCCAAGAGAGAAAACATGGTGTCTGTCCTCATCAGTCCTGCATGTCCCATGCCTGAGTCAGCTCCTGGTACAGCAAGTGCACGTTGAATGAACGAATGAATCTCTGTCATCATGATGCTTCTTCTCCCTGTGGAAAAGCTGACCCCACATCTGGGGCTCTGACTCCCAGGTTGAGAGTAGGGAAGGGGAACAGAGATGATGATGTTTGCAAGTGCTCCAGACCTAGGATGCTGACAGCTCCCCACTCCACAGACCCTTCCTGCAGAAAGATCGGGAGGTTGCGTGCTTTCCCACATGGACCTACGCAGGCTGCCAGGGACCCCTGGCATTGCACTCGGATGCTGTACTCCCATTGCTCCAATGACCTCAGCGCCCAAGAACTCATCCTCTCCAACAATGCCTCAGGTTCTGGGAGGGTACACAGCAGCCAGTAGGGTTTCAGGAACCAGCACATTCCTTCCAAGAAGAGTCAGCTTTAGTCATTCACTGGTATTTAACTCACAGTGCTTTACCTCCAACAGCCACAAGATGGAACAGACTTGCTTTCCCAGCCACACAGGGGAGGTCTGTACCAAACCTGTGAGGAGACTCCAGGAGACAGGGCTGACGTAGTTTAACCAGTTGAAGATGATTGGGGGCAGGGGTGCTGTAAAACAGTCATTTCCTGAGAAAGGGTTGTGGGGGGTGGAGAGGGGCATCTAAGCCATCAGCACTGTTAATCTCAGAGAATGTTTTCTCTTCTTCCCAGAATGCCTAAATTTCCAAGGGGGAAAGGGGGTGCGGAAGAGAATTCAATGGGTGAGCTGGCTGCAACTGGTTTCTGGACTTGTGTCTTTCCACTTCCAGGTTTTTGTGGCCGAGGAAAGGATTCCTGATTTCTGTCAGGGGCTCATCTATGTGTGGTAAGAAGGACACTCATGGGTTCTACGTATCTAGCTCATCTTTTCCCACCTCCTTCTTTTTACTAGCATTAAAATTTTTTGGTTTGAAAGAAGAAATTTGGGCCAGGAGGGGATAAAAGTAATTTCACGTGATCTAGGAGACCTCTTTTGAGAAGGACAGTCTGAGATCCATGACAAGTGGAAACAAGGATCAAGTGATTTTGTTTTGTTTTTTTTTTTTAAACTAAGAAGACTAGTCCTTTGGTTTTTAGAGTTGGAATATTGGCCACCTGGTAGATGATTCAGTATTCTAAGACTTCTCCTTATTTAGTGCAGATAGCTTTTTTGCTCATTTTCCTTTTCGGTTGGATTTTTAAAAAGCTATTTCATATGCAAAATACAGTAGTCAGTGAGTGATGCTAAAATGATTTGTGCTTCCAGGAAGGGCAAGACTGTATTCTTGAGCAATGTGGGCAGAGGATTCTGCTATGGGACACTTGGTCACTGAAGACAGGAGGGCTCTAGGGACTCCTAAAGTTAGGATGCATGAGTTGGGCTGTATGCAGCAGGTAGAGCCCAGAACATTTTGGGGTCAGGATAGATGAGGGGGCAGTATTTGGATAGGCTACCTTTCTAATGTCTGTGGGGCCTACTGTGACATACTTAGTTGGTTATTACAAAGCCAGGGTTGTTGAGGGTTGCCACTTCTGGCAACCAGAGTCAGTGCTTAGGTTACTTAAGACCACTAGGCTTAATGACATAATCATTCTCTCTGGGGAGAGAACCAAGTGACACAAGTAAGTTTTCATTCCTCATCCTTTTTTTTTTTTTAACATATTTTTAAAAATTTTTACTTATTTTTGAGAGAGAGAGAGTGTGAGCAGGGGAGGAGGAGAGAGAGGGAGACACAGAATCTGAAGCAGGCTCTAGGCTCTGAGTTGTCAGCACAGAGCCCAACACAGGGCTTGAACTCATGGACCGCGAGATCATGACCTGAGCTGAAGTCGGATGCTTTAACCGACTGAGCCACCCAGACACCACTCATTCCTTATTCTTTTACTCTGCCCACCTCTGCTTTCCTAAATCTGACCATCTGATTTCATTACGTTGAAATGCGTGAAAAGACTGAGAAAATAACATTAATAAGAACAAACTAATTGGGGATTTGTGATAATTCATGCAGGGGCTGGGCTGCAGTTACCTTTGTACTATGGGAGGAACAGGTCTTCAAAGCAAATTAATAGGATAAAAAGATCTCATTAATAGCAATAAAAAGGGGTAATATAAATGAGAACAAATTATTTTCTAGAGCCTTAGCAACTTCCAATTGAACATCCACAATTGATGACTGAATTTATTCTTATCAATAAAAACAGGTCCATCAAGATTCCAATATGGCAAACCTTGGGTAGCCCAAGACAAACGTTAGTTAATAACACTCTGGAGAGGTCAGGTTTAATGGGAACTCTCATATGGACCAAGGACAAAGCAGAGCAGACAGAGGCAGGGGATGACAGTCTTGAGAGAAGCAAAGAGCTTAAAATCTCTATCTTTATCTTTATCCTCTAAAGTCCTTCTTCTCCTTGGAACTTGTTTCCTGAGGGCTTGGTGTTGGCAAGAGGGTCTGGAACCTCATCCTCTCGCTTGAGAGAGATGCACTGTTGCCCTTATAAGGAGAGCGAGCCTGGGAAGGGGGTAGTCCCTGAGATGGGAGGCCTATGAGCAGGCCTTGCCTTTTACCTGGGCCCCTGGCAATCCTCAGGGTGCACAGGTGGTCCAGTCCATCCCACCAGGAAGGGCAACCCCAGAGAGCTTGGAGACAGGGAGCTGCCATAAAGAGGGCTGCTCTTCCTGACTGTTTTTTCTACACATCAGCTGGAGTCTGTGAGAGCTGCCTGGCATGTGGCATGTACAATGGTTAAGAGCACTGACTCTGCAGCTGGTGCTGGCTTGCCTGGTCCAAATCCTGGATACCACTGCCTACAGACTCCTCTGTAAATTGAAGTTAATAATAGCAACTCTACCTCATATGGTTGTTGCAAGGATTATATGTATTAATATTCCTAAAATGCTTAGATACCACTTGGCACATAGTACTAAATGTTTGTTTAATAAATAACGGTGTTATATATGCTAGAATATGATAACACTTCAATTTTTACATTAATCTTTAATGAAAGGTTTTCATAAATCCCAACTATCCTTATCTCCCTTAAATAATGTGAAATAGTGATGTTTTAAGGCACACTTATGCAAATAAATGCCAAAATTTTTTAACAACACAGAGCTTCTCTATATACACGAAGAAATGAATTCAGAACTTTTTAGGTACAAGTGAAAAAATTATCTGCTCATGTTTAAAAATGTACAATAGAAAGTTGATTTTTCAGGATGTTTGTACATCAGTCTTTTGTCTTCCCCCAACTCCCTGTCATTGTTGAAGGCTTTACCCCACACCCCCCTTGATTCTTCCCCTGGATTGTCACTGTAATTCACCTTTAATATGCAATTGGGTTCTTTAATTTAAAACCAGATTAAGGTAATGGGTTCTAAAGTACAACGAGGCTTATTTTTAACTGCATCCAAGAAGCTGAAGTACTATGAAAAATCAAGAGTGGTACTGCTCCACTCTTAGATTGCAGCTCAGACCAAAATAGACCAGCACTGGGCTCTTCACCCTGCCACCAACTATAATTAGCTAGTCTGCAGCTAGAAGGAAGAAAAAATGACACTACCTTGTAAGGTGCTAATAGAACCCATTTTTGTCCTTTCAGGGCCCCCTCTTGTGGATCAACCACCAGTTGTTTTGTGGGCATTCATTAAATCATACCCGTCCCCTCTGGACTAATACCATCATTTTGATCATGTAAACTGAGTTACAAAAGATCACGTTCAGTTCTTTTTCTGGGCATGCTTTCTCTCCATAGCCTTTTCCCAACCCCGTCTGTTTAAGGGATCTCCAGTTCCCCACAGGGCATCCTTGTGGACAAGGAATGATGATGCCTGCCATAGTCCTGCCCAGGAACCCAGGCAGGCAGTGAAACACCAGGGAACCACCGTGCATTAAGAAGAACAAAATCCCAACATACTTTCTTTGCTGTCGATATCCTGATATGTCTAGAAGGGTTTTCCGAGGGAAAGACCGAAAGAGCTTCTGCACCTGCTGTTTCCATGACAACAATCTTTTTTTCTGAGTCTCTGTAAATGCCTGTAAAAACAAACAGGACTTTTTAATGGGTGGCGCAGCCTGGCATTAGAGGGAGAAACATGCAATTAATAGGGGGAACATCGGAGTCTCTGGCAGTTGCCTTTTCTTCACCTGCTCCCTACTTGATCCAAATGGCAGTCAGTGTCACTTGGGAGCCACCTGTACCAACAATGCAAGTTATTTGTCATTGGAGGTGCCTGGTAAAGTACATGCATTAAGCTTTTGACAACCCTTGTTTTTGGTTGCATTTCTGGCAGATCCATACTCACTTTCCCCTTCCTCCTGACTCTACTCTGGACTCTACAGATTAACCAAGAATGAATTGCAAAATGGACTGTTGAATACTCTGGCTTTTGCAGGCCCCCTATGTGTTCATAAGCAATGGAAATGCTAAACCACTTCAAAAATCAATCTGCTTGATGGTGTGTGGTCACCCTGGAGTGGTCTTCAGGGTTTCAGAAAATGGAAGAATAGTCTCTGCTATGTTATACTATACTATACTATACTATACTATACTATACTATACTATACTGTACTATACTATACTATACTATACATCAGGATAGGTGCACTGGCAGTTTTATAGGGCATGGGGCTTTGCTGAGAAATCTCCAGTTAAAGGATCCTGTGCCCTACAAAACCCCAGTGCACCAATCCTGACCTAAATTTTGCCTAAAGTTTAGGAAAATCGGTAGATCTGATGCCTTCTCAAATCCTTTTTAGTAAAATTGGCATTGAGGGGGTGTTTTGCCTGCTTCATAACACATTGACATCTGTATTATGCCTTCTTTTGTGTATGCTGAAGTCCAGGGAAAGACTTTATAGAGGTTATGAGTCCCCAAGGCAGAGACACTCAAATCTGTGTTATATTAGAATCCCTCAAGAAGACCTAGACCCCTTCCCACATACCTAGAGCCTGATATAAGAGATCTGGAGAGGAGTCCAGGTGATGTTTGCAACAAGTGCCCTGGTAATTCTGCTGCAGATGGAACACGGACATTTGGCATTCTAGATGGTTTGAGGACCCTACGTGCAATATAGAAATCCCCTGGCGGGAGACTAGAACGGTGGCCCACACCCTGTGGGAGACCCATCAGCTTTGATTGATTAGCAGTAACAATGATGGAGATAACATACCCATGTACTTTTGTCAATAAGACAGAAAATCCTTTAAGTAGCAATAAACTATTACTTAGAGTAACAGACTATATGACTACTTTCCATAAAGGAAACTGATTCCTTAAACAGAGAAAAAAAAATGACAGCTTAATTTTCTCCAGATGACATTTAATCTTTAAGGACCTAAACACAGGGGAGCTATGTGAACAAAAAAGCAAAAAGATGTTAGTTATATTGCGAAAAAATTATTGACTTGCAAACCCCTTCCTGCTGGATGACCTTAGCCAGACACATTTAAGGATATCCACTAAAGGAGGTCTACCCAACCCAGAGATTCCATGCCTCATTAAAGAGGTGCAGACACTGCTTAAGGTACATGGTAGGATGGTCTCATGGTTACAAGGTAAGGACATGGTTCTACTCTGTGGTCCCTTCTCATTTGTTGGTAATGCTTGGTGAGTGTCCACCTATACATGAATGTCTGAAAACTTGAAAGGCAAGCATCGCTGCTAGACTAATAAAGGGATGGATAGATTCTCCTTTTGACTGGCTTATTCTGCCAAAGTTTGAGAACACAGGATGCAGGTGCACTGATCAAGATGACTTGGGGAGGAGAGTCCAGCCCAGTTGGTTGGAGGAAGGCTCTGGATGGATACGGACAGGGTTTGAATCCCTGCATACCCTTATGCGAGTTCCTTTACCTGAGACTCGGTTCCTTCTAAAAACCGTGGATAATAATATCTCCCTCAAAAAGACGTAAGGATTAAATGAGACAACACATGAAATGCAATTAGAATACTTAGAACATACCTGACTGTTAGTAATGGTTCAATAACTGCTGCTCATAGATACTCTAGCCAGGGTTTTTTTGGTTGTGCAAACCAGCCCTTTGGTGGTGGTGTATGAATGTTTGTCACATATGGTATTTAGCAATCACCTTCAGCCCCCAACAAATGATTTCAAGTTGTCAAAACTGTAATACCGAGCTGGTCTAGGGCCAGCCTGAAGGACAGCTGGCCTGAGTTTCCAAGTGACAAAGGAGGAAATGGCTTACTTTATAGACATGCATTCAAAGTGCTTCCAAGGACATTTCCAAGAAGGTGGAAATGTTTATATCCCACCCCCCGGCCCCAGAGAGGTCAGCTCATTCATTCAACACTGGCACCAGGCTCATTTAGTTCTGGGTTGCAGATAGAATCAAGCCCCTTAGCCATGCTGAGTGAGTGTGGTGGCCACTTCTCAGTCCTGGAGGCTGCAGCTGGGAGGCACAGAGAGGAGCTGGGTCATGGCTGGCAATGAGCGATTTCCAGAAGCTGGTCTCTGTGTGTGTGTGTCTGCAAAGTAGCACTCTATCATGGGAGCTCCACTGTCAACTGGGATGGCTGACACATGACCTCAGCCATTCCACTGGCAGCTCTGGGTTGGGCTGGTAGCAGCTTCCTCAGGGACTGGAGGGGAAGGAACCTCCATAGTACAGATTGACATAACCAGTCAGCCACTTCCGAGTCCTGTGTCACGATCAGGGCCAAACCAATGAGTCTGTATGGAAGAAGATGGCTAGGGTGTGCCCCACAGCTTTTGTGGCGGGATTAAAAAGATGCTCATAAAAGGGGCAAGAACTCCTCTCTGCAGAACCTCCTGGAGATGGTGAGGAGGCAAGAAGCCAGGGATTATAATGCAGCAAAGTAGTCTCAGAAATGAAATTCAGAACTTTCCTGTCCTCCCTTCTGTTACTCTAGGGAGTTGGTCCCTTTGTCCCTGGGAGGAAGGAAAATGTCTAGGTTCGGTCAACATCCTGTCCAGTCAGGTAAGGAATAGCACATTCGGGCTGTGAAAGGGAGTCCTGTTTCGTGGAGCCCAGGTATAAACCTCAGCCAGGATGGAGACTGCGTGCTTCGACAGGGCCTCACAGGGAGGAGGTGTTCTGCCCAACAGAATAACCCAAGCCTATGGAAAATTATTCAGACACGTTTCCTCTTTCTTGAACTAAAATAATAATAAAAGGTCTTGCACAGCATTTTCCCTTCCAAAGCGGAGTACAGTCCTCTCCATCCGGACATGAATTCAGGCGAGCAGACATAGCATAAGCCCCTTTCTGCCTGTGACTCCCACCAGCCACAGGTCCCTCTACTGCAGTCGAGGCCTCTTGCCAGCAGATGAGTCCACATGGTGCCATCTTTGCATGTAATCACTTGGGCAGGCAGGGAGAAAAAAAAACTAGGCATTTTCTAAATATTCTAAGGAAATGGAAAAGAGAGCCAGGCTGCGCAAGGAGGGCATGCACCGTGGCAGGAAAGTGAGAAGCATCAGGCCACAGCTTTGGGGCTGGTGGAGACCAATTAGGAAGCTTGTGCACTGTCCAACGGAGGCAGCTGGAGGGCTCATTATTTTGTCTTGCGGGCTCAGCAGACTTGAGGCAAGATGGAAAGTAACTTGTAACTTGGTTACAAGTATCCTGAAGGTTTGGTGTGAGTGTGGGCATGGCAGAGGATGCAAGGTTCTAGTTCCTTTATATAAATTTAAATCCTCCCGTTATCAGTCCTCCCCAAACCCACTCCAAACATACTCCCCCCCCCCGGTAAGACACAGAGCTCTCCAAATGCTGTTCTTTCTGCCTGGAGTGCTCCCACCCTGCTTGGTAAGTTCTTTACCACCAAGGACCCCAGTTGCCTTTCAGACTAGCTTGGGGACAGTTCCTCTGAGGAAAAGCCATTTCAGTCTGGTTGGCCCAGCCTCATCTGGGCTCCAGGACAGCCTTATCCTCATGTATGTGATGACCTGGTTTCCTTTTGTGTCCCCTGCTACCCTCATACCCACCATGCTGCAGTGAGGATGGGGTCTGGGTGCTTAATAAGGATCTGTGGAATGAATGAGTTCTAAAATTCTTCAACACGTTCTTGCCTTCTTTTCTTCCTGTTGCTTTTTGCTGGCCAAAACAAGTAGGGTGACAGGATCAAATACACAGTGTGAGTCAGTTGGGAGGGACTATTAGGGAGGGACACAAAATTCTCTGCTAGAGAGGAAATAGCAAAAAGGAGAGTTTAGGGGACACTGTGGGTCAGTGGCTGGGAAGGAAACCCAGAAGGAGACCATAACCTGCACGTGACGGTGGGGGGATCAGAACTTCTGAAGCCAGGGGGGCCTGGCCGCTGACAGACAGGCCTGGTAGACTGGCAGCTGAAAAAAAAGCTGGCAGGTGAGGCAGTGTGAGTGGGGCAGTGGGTAAGGGGGACAGACCTCTGTGCCAGGTGTCTCCCTTCACTGGGGCCCACTGCACTTCTGGGGCTCTGGCTGCTAACCTGGCAAAGGTGAGGAGACTTGGGGGCCTTTGCCACCTTATTCTAACGTTAAAGTCCCAAAGAAAGACCTCAGTGCTAAGTTTTTCCAAAGCCTACACTGTGACTCTTGTGTCTATGACTCTTTGAGGGGGTGCTCCCAAGAAGCTACTGGAGTCTTGGGTCCGAGACACAATCCCCTGTCCCCACATGGGCCTCAGGGCAGCTGCCAGGGCAGGCGGCTGCTCCGGCCCAGCAGTGTCCAGGACCCGGTCTGCTCCATCAGGAAGATTGCACTTGCACTGAGTCTAATGGGAACACCTCCAGCCGGCCTCCGTCCTCCTTCAAAAGGACATGTGGCTCAACACAATTCCTATAAAAATCACAAATCAGACCACACACAAACACATGATTTTTTTTTTTTTGCACACTCTCTCACCCTCCCTCAACTTTCCCTGAGCCAAAAGACAAAATGTTTCAACACAAAATTTTAAAAGGACTTGAAAACGCCAAAACTAGGTGGCAGGGTTGAGTGTTCACCACCTCAGGCTCGGTCACTCAGGGATTCTTCCAGAGCCAGAAGTTTCTCTCAGGCATTCACCCTTACATCAGAGCTCAGTCTAGATGAATCTCGACACCAAAGTCACATACAGGCTGTGCTTAGGTTTGAAGCCACCATAGCTGGGTTCTGCCCAGGCTATGATTAATGCCTGTCTACCCTTCAAAAACAAGTTGTTGGGAGACCCAAGTGATCACATCACAGAAACTCTGAGAACCATTTCTAAGCAATGAGAAAAACAGTTTTGTGAAATCCATTACTACTCACCTCATGAATTAGACACTTGTCTATGAGCTGTAAATAGGAACTTATATTTTCCTCATCAGGTCTGGAGACCAAGAGCTGTGTGCACACTGTGAATTAAAAAAAAAAATAGAAAAGATGAATTAGAAACATGCAAACCCATTCTAACCTCGGAGATCTGTCTCTGATTTCCTTTCAGGACCAATATTTTGAGAGGTATGTGTGCCTGTGGCTTTACGTAAGGTTCACAAAAAAGGCCAGGAGGCTCCTCATTCCACTGAAGTCAAAGGCTTGGTCACCACAGGAGCCCTCGCTTTGAGAAGCCCCTTCGCTTAATTCCAGGCATACCATTCTATATTAAGCCTTCTGCAATCCAGCCTGAGACACTCTGGGAGAAGAATGCAGCCGTGTCCTGAGCTCTATCTTTGAAAGAGGCTCCTTTGGAGAAGAGAGTTCAAAGGCATCAAAGACCATCAACGTTCTCAGAAAGCAGTCTTCATAATTTGATGAATGAACTGTGCGCCTCATTTGGAGGAATGAGTCTGGCACATCTTTTAGGACATGAGGTGTGTGGGCACACACATGGGCAGGAGCCCGCTACTCCGTCATTGGAGGGTTATTTTCTCAAAGTGGTAACACACCTTTATACACACACAAGTTCACCTACACACTCAAGAAACTGAAGCAATAAGACCGAGCAGAGTCAGTCAGCAAGGAGAGTGCACACCCCCACTGGGATTCTCATGACCCCGATATCATAGCCCATTCTAATCTCATCCTAGAGGCGGTGATGCTCTGATTTTGATGGGGGTGTTTAGAAGGCTGCGGTAGAGGTGGTTGGACAAAAGATGTCAGAAGTGAAAATGCCTTGCACTCAAGTAGACAAAGCTTGAAACCTGGGCATAATGATTCCTTTCTCTTCCTAATCCTGAATAACCAGTGTGTCACAGAATCCCACTTATATCATGTCTTTGCACATAGATTTTCAGTACAGCATTGTTTGTAATAACAAAAACTTGAAAACCACCTCAGTGTCCATTAACTGGGGTCCTGTTAAATTATACTTTTTGCATATAGCGGAACAGTATGCAACGTTTAAAAAAGAATAGGGTGGTGATATCGTATGGATAGAAATATTAAAAGTATATAATGTAGGAAAAACTAGCTGCAGAAAAATGTATAAACAACACCTGTTTGTGTGTGAAAAGGATTCTCATGTGCTTGTATACGATTAGTACAAAGTTCCTGAAGGGATATTCTAAACCTGTTTATAGCAGTCACCTCTGCAGAGGAAGATGGCAGGGCTTGGGGGACAGGTTATTTTTCACTTTCCATCATTTTGTTTAGTTTTGATTTTTTATGTTGAGCATGGATTTATAATTTATTTGAAAGTAGCTAAACTGTAACAAGTAGCCATGCCAGAGAAGTTCGGGTCTCCGAGCCCATCAGGGGTTACACTCAGGTATCCACTCCCACATGTATCTTTACCCAGGGGGTCATCTGTTCTAATCCCACACTGTGAAGAGCCCCCATCGGGGGTGGGAGGTTGGGAGGTAGAGAGAGCTAGGAGGTGAGTGGGAGGAGACCAGGGACCCACCCTGGCCATCTCAGCTCAAAGGGATGATACAAGTCTCCTCTGAACCAGATTCCTATGGAAGTAAGTCTTGTTTTTTTTTTTTTTTTTAGGATGTGGGCACATGGGAAGTTTCTCACTGCACCTCTAAGACTCAGGTGTCCATTTCTTTTGGTAAAAACTTGGTTTCTTTAAAATGATCTGGGGGCGCCTGGGTGGCTCAGTCGGTTAAGCATCCGACTTCGGCTCAGGTCATGATCTCACGGTCCGTGGGTTTGAGCCCCGCGTCGGGCTCTGTGCTGACAGCTCAGAGCCTGGAGCCTGTTTCAGATTCGTGTCTCCCTCTTTTTCTGACCCTCCCCTGTTCATGCTCTGTCTCTCTCTGTCTCAAAAATAAATAAATGTTAAAAAAATTAAAAAAATAAAATAAAATGATCTGAAATATTGGACAATAAAGAAGAAAAATTGTTTCTTCTTCCCAAAGGAAAAGTACTGGCATTCATTGCGTTTTTAAAATAATCACACTTTCTTGTGGGACACCCTGTGTAAGCGCAAATTATTCTAGCACTGGACCTTTCAAAGATAATCACGTAGTCACTGTGCCACGCACGGGGGAGGTAGAAAGAATGCTCCTACCCAAAGAATCACATGAGAATTCAGTCTGCCCTCCAGACAGGCACACAGCATGGCTATGGTGCCTTCAAAGAGTAGTCTGTATTAAGTAAGGGAAGGGCTGACTTCCTTCCGCCCGCAGGCCCAGAGGCCCAATGAGCACTCACTTTGCTAGGAGGATCCAGCATTGAGGGAGTGGAAGAGAAAAGGAGACAGGGTTAAGGAAGAGGCCTCTGGGGGTCAGAGAGATTGGAGTTCAGTCCCAAATGACAACCTTTGAGCCTCACTCTCCTCATCTGTAAATGGGCTAATGGCATCTACCCTGACAGTTTATCCAGCACCCTGGGGAAGCTCCTCAGGAACCAGGAGCTCTGATTAGTGGTGTTGAGAGAACAATGGCGGAGGTGGGAGAATCAGGCTCTACCTTTCCCCATGACACGTGTGAACTGCCCAGGGAGATCCCCCTCCGGCAGGGGGGCGACGGCCAGCTCCCCATCACAGCTACTCAGCTGGTGTGGCTGGAGCCCACCGCTGGCCCCAGCGGAGGCGGTGGCTGTGGCACCAGTGGCTGCGGCGCTGTCTTTGCAGTCAGGGGTCTGGCCCTCAGGGCCCATCAGTGAGGGCGGGTGGGGGGCCTGGGGCTCCCGGCGGCAAGCCTCGGGGGTGGTGCTTGGGGAGCTGTAGGCCTTGATGGGAGTCAGGATCATCTGGTGCAGCTCCTGGAGCGGGATGCGCAGGTTGCCCCCTTCGATGATGTCCTGGACGGCCAGAGGGAGAAGACTTTGGTTAGGGACAGCACTGGGGGTGGCCCACCTTGACGTCTCCCTCTCCCGCCCGGAGCTATTCCTAGGCGGGACTCACAGCTGCTGGCCCCTTCATCCCAACAGTCTTTGGAAATGCAGCCATTTTATCATTCTATTATTAGCCCGGTAGAAAACTTGGCAAAATACGGATATGCATAGTGAGGAAAATATACATCACCTGAAAATCCCACCATCTAGAGGTGATCACTAAAACGATTTTGTACATTTCCTTCCCTGGCTTCCTCAGTGAATTTCTATAAAAAGCATTTATATATTTTACATGCACACACTTTAGAAGCTGTATAATAAAGCTGGGTCATGTGGTAACTTCCTGTCCTGTGTAGGATGAAGGGACCTGCTCGTTCACACCCTCAGCCCACGACACAGGCACCACAGGGCAGTGGTTAAGAATACAGACTCTAGGAGGGTGCCTGGATGGCTCAGTCTGTTAAGTGTCTGATCTCACTCAGATCATGATCTCATGGTGTTTGGGATCGAGCCCCACCTTGGGCTCTGCCCTAACGATGCAGAGACTGCTAGGGATTCTCTCCCTCTCTCTCTCTCTGCCCCTCCCCTGCTGGCTGTCTCCCTCTCTCTCAAAACAAGTAAAACTTCAAAGAATACAGACTCTAGGACAGATGCTGGGGTTCAAATTCTGACACTACTGTATGACCTTGGGTAAACAACTTAACCTCCCTGTGCCTATTTCTGTGTATAAAATAAAGATAACATCTGCCTCAATGGGTGGTTGTGAGGATGTTAATATCTGTAAAGCTGCAGGTCAGGGTCAGGTTCCCATGTCATGTGCTTCTTTGTTAATAGGTATGTGTCGAGTGCTGTGATGAACTGGGCACTGTCCTAGGCAAGAGGTTATGGGGGGAAGAGTCTTTGTGGTTCCCTTGGGGAGTTTACAACCCACCCTGAGATGAACATACTGCGCTAGGGTGCAGGCCAGGGTGGCTGTGAAGGGAGGCTGTCTGAGGGGGTGATGTTGGACTGGGAACCCAAATGAATGTGGGCGTGAGGACCCTGGGAAAGCGTGCCCCATGCAGAGGGCATGGTGAAGGCAGAGACTCTGAGGTGGGGGCATGCCAGGGTATGTGAGGAATAGCAAGGAGGTAGAACAGGATGGGGAGAGGAGAGGGTGAGGAATGAGGTTTCTACTGGGGCCTGAGCATGGAGGCAAGGAAGCTGGGAGTTTTTCTAAATGAGAAGAGACTTCAGGGGAAGTTTTGAGCAAGGGAGTGACATGTTGTTGAAGTTTCATTCTGGAGAGAAATATGTACAATATATGTGTATACAATACAGTTGACTCTTGAACAACATGAGTTTGAACTGTGTGTGTCCACTTACATGCGGATTGTTCCGATAAATACAGTACAGTGTTGAGAATTTACTGATGATTTTCTTAGCATTTTCTATTCTGTAGCTGACTTTATTATAGGAATACAGAATATAACATATATAGCGTACAATATATCTTCAGTAAGGCTTCCAGTCAACAGTAGGCTATTAGTAGTTCAGTTTTTGGGGAGTCAGAAGTTACACATGGATTTTCAGCTGCACAGGGGAGGAGTCAGTGCCCCATGCTGTTTAAGGATCAACTAAAATTGTACATAATATAAATGATTTTATATGTTGTATAATAAAATTGGGGACTTCTGCACATACAGTTTGATATACTGGTGGTTATTTATTAGGAAAAAGAGTGAGTGCGGATTCTGGTCGATATTTATCTACGTGCCAGATCCTCACAGAGGCACAGGACAGGCTCTGACGCTTGTGGCTGGGTGTCAGGGCCTGGGAATCATTTTTGGCATGGAGAGCGGTCCGGCCCTCTGCCCCAGTGCTGCCCAAGTGCTTTTGCAACAGACCTCTCCTTGGGACCCAGGAAGGACACTGACAATCAAGGCCCTGATTACTAATGAAGTATTTACTCTTCTGAGAGCACAGAATGGCAAAGACATCATTTCAAAAGCCTGAAGCATGAGTACCAGTCCATTCCTGGGTTCCTCTAAGAAAAACTGCTTGATGGTGTCCAGGAACACAAGCCCATGGAACACGATCACCTCTACACCCAGACTTTCCGATCAATCGATAGCACATTGGACTTCCTATCAATTGATTAGAAAAAGGAAACTGGAGGGCGGCAGCCTTGAATAGGCACGTTTCAGTTCAGGGCAGCAAAACACCAATAGCCCAGCCCCACCATTGGCGGGAACCTGCTTTGCTCAGGAGGTTGGAAGCAGAAACTTAGCCTAGTTGGCACCCAGGGTCATTGAGTAAAGTGAAATGCTAAGTAGCCATCAGAATTGTTTCAGTCCTGGCCAGGGCCACTGTCCAGCCTGTTTTAGAGGAGAGCGTCCATTTTTCTTTTAAAGAGGAGAGCTTGAGAGTCTACGGCCTTCCTTCTAAACCTGGCAGACATGGCGTGGGGAAGACTAGCTTGCTGCCTACACCAGCAAACCTGAGGCAGGAGTCATTCCCAGTTTTCCTGCTGCCCAGACTGGACCAGTCTTTTCCAGAGTCTAGATGGAGTCACGTGACTGGTCGCTCGATTTTGGACTTGGTGATCTATCAGGGCAGGGCATATGAGGCAAGCTAGCTGACCCATGCCAGGAGAGCACCTATGGCCTTTCCTGATCCAACTATGTGCCAACTGGGGTGGGGGGGATCCCTGCCTCTAGGTCCTTCATTTCCTGCCAACTGCCTAACTGGCACCTAGGATGTGGCGGCTCCTGATCCTGTCCAGCCCCTGACCGGGGTGGGTGGGGGAGGGGGGAAGCAGAAGGAGAGAGAAGGGATGAAGCTTCCTCACTGAGTGGGAGCTGAGTAGGCAGAGCTGGCTGGCCTATTTGGGAGATCACATGCATCCCTGCCATGCCATCCCACGTGACAGCTAACACAGAGGTGAGCAAATGCATGCTCATGACGTTGCGTCAACTGCCACCAAACAACCCTCACTTGGCTCTTGTCACATGCAAAAAGGCTTCTGTAGTTACTCAGTGATGGAGGAAGGGGATTTTGATTATGCTAATAGCTGAACTCTTTGGAATAGGAAACATACGCTTGCCCCAAGTTCAAATCTTACCTTTCTCCACTGGAGACAACCACACCAAAAAGGAAGCCATAAACCTAATGAATAATGATGGACACTTTCTGTCAAATATAACTTATCAGGAATCATGCAGAGTTTTTTTTGTTTTGTCGTCCCCCATAGACTTGAAGCCACTGTCTCAAAGAAAACACTCGGCTAACAAGTTAACAATGCCCCTTATGCCAGCCTTTGTAGGGTTACATATCTGACTCTTCAGAAATCAATTCTAGAACTCAACACTGAGTGCCCAAGTTGAGAAGGAAGCTAGAAAATGGCCCAAGTGGGACCCAATCCAGTGTCCTCCAACTAGCTGTGGGAATTAATTCTCCATGTTGACAAAAATAGGGAACCAACCCAAGTCTCTACTGATCCTTCAGACCATAAATATACTCCTACATTATAAACACAAAGAGGCAAAATGAAGCTGTCCGTTCGCTAATGTGCCTAGCCGAGGAGCTCATGGCAGAGGGAGCTCGAGGCAGAGGCCTCCACGAAGGCCGGCCCACCAATGCCAGCAGTCAGCTCTGGTGGCACAGCTCAGGGCCCATGCACAGGACAGGAAGCTACTTGCCAACCCCTCATCTGGCTTTCTTAGGTCTTAGAGGAAGACTGGTTTGAAACCTTTCTCAGGGCACGTGACAGCAGCAAGGGGCAAATCGTCTGGAAGACAGAACTTGGGCAGCCAGTGTCTCGACACTTACACACTGACCATGGTCCCATCCTTCCCCCAGAGTGAGCAGACCTGGACCTCTTGCACAGTAGACAGCACTCCTGCACCTACTTAAATCTACTCCCCTGCCACCTTTCATTCACCACACTCCAGCTGGGCCCAACCAGGAGCTAAGCACTGTGAAGCATCAGGGACCTAGAAACAAATACAACAGAATCCTTGCCCTGAGATGCTTACAGTTTCTGGGGCCCATACAGTGTGAGCATGCAGCCAGGACAGGGAGCTGTGGAAACATTGTGTGCGTGTGTGTGTGTGTGTCCTTTCTCTGTGCCAGGTTCCCAGGGAATAGTTTAGCTTCATAGTTTGGGAATTAGTTGAAAAAGGACAGTGAATAAAAGCATGTGAAACATTTTCGTTATTAAAGATCAATGTTGAAAAGTTTGCCCCAGCAACATTCTAATCTTTCCTTTTTCTTTTCCACCAAACATCTTGAGAAGTCTGTACTTCCTTACCCCGTGGCCTCAACACCCATTCACACTTCTGGGTTCCTGAGTTTCTGCTTCTATCCCTCCTTTCTCCTTGTATCCCTTCTCATCATGGCCACCAGTGACCTGCTGGCAGCCAGTTCCAGGGGGCAGTGTTCAGTCCTCACTGTAGGGGACACATCCACAGCACCTGATGGGATTTGCTCCTTCAAATGCTTCTCTGACCCCCTGGGTGGGCTCAGCCTGTCACTGTTCAGTCCCTCCATATCTTCTGGATGGTGCTTCTTGGGGTCTGTCCTCAGCTCTTCCACTTGGCACACACTTCTGGAGGAGTCAACTGCCATTATGCACAGATGACCCACAGATGAGTCTTTCAAGGCCTTGTGGACTCTAGCCTTGTTCTTCTGGCCGCTAATTTGCCTTTTCTGCCTGGGTGTCCCAAAGGCACCTCAGACTCAATCTGGCCAACTGAACTCAACCCCCCTTCTCCAAACCTGGCAACTCCTCCTATATCTGCTGTTCCCAAATGGCACGGCATCAAGGCCACTGCCTGGACTTCTGCTAAACGACCTCTCTTATCCCTCTCCACCCTCGCGGGCCCTGCCTTAGCTCCAGGGTGCACCAAGTCTGGCTGTAGGTTCCTAACGAGTCTTCCAGCCAGTGTCGGCCCCTCTGAGGTTTCCCTCTTCGTCACCACTGCAGAGTGCTGTGCTTCATCCCAGGAAGATTCCCCCACCTGCCTCGGTGACGACACTGATCACAAGGGATTTGAGAGCACCGGCTGTGTCTGTGTGACATGTCTGTGTCACAGTGTGCATCTCGTGCTCCCCAAAGGCAGGAGCCACATATTACTGTGTTACTCACGGGTAGCCTCCAGTGGATGGGGTAAATGTAGTCCAAGGCAGCTGCTTAGTAAGTGTTCAGGCTGAGTGGAAGGGCTCTGGACATGGAGCTTATCTGCAGCAACCACTGATTATGAACTAGCCCTGGGCGGGGCCCCAGGTTCTGTGTGAGGTAAGAATGCTGTAGGCAAGCAAAGGCCTGATGATAGCATTTTCAACAGCATAACCAGCTTAGGACGTGTGGGAGCACGAGAGAAAGGGCTGATGGAGTTTGCCGCTGGTGGCCTAAGTGGTAACACATTAGGGATGACTTCCTCCCTCAAAGAGCAGGAGAGCCTTGGGTCCCAGAGGAGCGAGCCAAGGGGCTGAGTCCCCAGTGGGTGCTGAGGACCCCCAACCCCAGGTCATGAGCTCCTGAAGGGACAAGCACACAAGTGTCTGTACTCAGGTGTTCTGAAGCAAGCTGAACGTGCTGGTCTCCTAGACGCACAAGCTTTCCTCCTCAGGGACGTCGAAATAAACTCATTACTGCTCTTCTCTTGATCATTAGCTGCTCTCAGACTTTGTATGAAATTTGTCATCTTTTTATCAATTCCCATTCCAGGCACCTAAGTGGCTCAGTCAGTTGAGCATCTGACTCTTGAGTTAGGCTCAGGTCATGATGATGTCATGGTTCATGAGTTTGAGCCCCACCTCAGGCTCTGTGCTGACAGTGCAGAGCCTGCTTGGGACTCTCTCTCTCTCCCTGTCTCTCTCTGCCCCTCCCCTGCTTGTACTCTGTTTCTCTCTCAAAATAAATAAACTTTAAAAAAATTCCCATTCCAGTGAACCCGGCAGAAAGTATTTTTGTGGAATTATTATTATCCTAGGTGTGAAATGGCACGGGCTCATCAAAGGCCAGATAGAAAGTCTGTGGCATATCAAGGCCACCTGTGCCAGCCTGTGCCCTTGTGTGTCCACACACTGATATGGCCCAAGGCTACGGGGAGTAGAGCAAACAGCAGTTCCATCTCGTCTTTCAGGTGGGTGCATTTCCTCAGTGCAGAGTTCCTGTGAGTTCCTAAAGGATGCTCTGGAGGTAAGGGGTGGGAGTTGGGTGGGGTGGGGGGACAGTCACTCTTTCACCGTAATACTTAGCAAGCTAGTCATTATGCAGAAAGCTTTCTGTGCTTTCTAACAGATAAGGAGAAAATTGGCCTTTTGAATGGTCCCCAAAAGAGAATGGTTTCTTATATTAAAGATGGCAATAATCACTCTGTTAGACAAACCGCTTGGTAAAGGAGTTATCATAAAATTAAGAACAACAATAACCTCGGGTTCAGTTGGATAGGTCACGTGTCATTTGTGATTCACTTTAATTAGGGGCAGACCTTTCATCACAGATGGGCATGTGAGTAGCCTCTATATCTATCCCATGGCTTTAAAGCCCCTTTCCTTATAAAGTTATATATGCTTATTCTATACACATACTTTATATTTTATGTGATATGAATTAAATATAACTTTATATGTTGTATATAAAATTATATACACACATCTTTTTAAAAAAAATTTTTTTTAAGTTTTATTTATTTAAGTGACTTCTACACCCAATGCGGGGCTCGAACTCATGACCCTGAGATGAAGACTTCATATGCTCTTCTGACTGAGCCAGCCAGGCGTCCCTATTTTTATAAGTTAAAAAAAAAAAACCTCTCACTGCATTAAAACGTTTATGTTCTTACAAAACTTGCATTAGCCCTACCTCCCTCAATACTTTGTTTCCTTCCAAAGTCACCCTGGACACACTAGAGGACCTCACCACTCAGGTTCCGCAGGCAGCACATCCCTACAGAACTTTCCACCCACCAGTCCCAACCACCTCCCAACAGCAATGCACAAGAATCCCAACTTGGGGCAGAGGGCAGCCCAGGAACAGGCCTGCTCTCCTCTGCACCTCAGATGAAATCATAAAGCCACCACGTCCTAAAAATATCATTACCAGGGTGATGTCCGGATACAAAGATAGGGAGAGAACTTGTTTAGGCAACAAACGAAAAGGGACAGTAGCAGCTGATAGGTGCTTATCAGCCAAATGATTTTCATTCCCTCTATTGAACCTGGAGTTTACTGGGATGGCTGGTCACAGGCTGCCTCGACCCAGGGAATAAGTACATTTCAGCAGTCGGGTTACCCAGAAGCTTGGGGAACCAGGATAGTTCACTTGAAAATCCTTTCATGTTTTTCTGCCTCTGGTAGGGAAACAAGGTGATACACTCTATAAAAGGTCTGCCAGTGACACTTTCGACTGAGAATCTTCCCGTGATAAAGGTGGAGATGTGCCTTCACCTGGTGATAACTTACCCTTTCCAAAGACTTCAGGAGGTTTTGTCTTTCTTTGAGCTTCTGAATACTGATGACAATTTTGTGTCTTGCACCTTTGGTAACATTCTGTAATTAAATAAAAGTTACATTTAAAGATATATTTTATTTTTTCAACGTTTATTTATTTTTGGGACAGAGAGAGACAGAGCATGAACGGGGGAGGGGCAGAGAGAGAGGGAGACACAGAATCGGAAACAGGCTCCAGGCTCTGAGCCATCAGCCCAGAGCCCCACGCGGGGCTCGAACTCCCGGACCGCGAGATCGTGACCTGGCTGAAGTCGGACGGTTAACTGACTGCGCCACCCAGGCGCCCCTAAAGATATATTTTTAAGAACCAGTTTAAAGACTCTTGGAGGCTATTTACTGTCTTCTTGGTTCCTGCCTTTGCAGACCAGTAAATATCCATTTGTCTCTCTCTTCAGTACTCATTGTCATAAACCTCTCCTTACCAAATATTTTAACTACATCTGGCTACACATTTGCCCGTGTCCTTTGGTTGTGACCTTTAGGAGAAGAGAGAGGGAGCTAGAACAGCCAATCACCCACCCAGCATGCAATGTCTTCACAGTCTTAAAGGATCATTTTAAAGTCATACACCCTCTTCTCCATATTTTGCCATGTCAGTCCCTCAGTTTGCCTGAAGGTCTCCATCCCATACAGATCTTCATTGTTTTCTCAACCCTTTCCTAGGTTTTCCATCTCAAGAATATGTGAAGGCTAGTGCAATTCTACCAGGTGTCCTACAACCAGGGCAATTTTTGGCAGTTTTCATGTCATCTTTGGTCTCCAGTCATCACTTCAGCTAAATGATTAGGATTCACAGTTAAGACTGTGGATTTTGTCTTAACTGTGTGCAATGCTGAGCCTACGGATTTATTTAAACCCTTGTTGACTACAGATACCACACATTTCCAAGCAGGTCCTTTCTTAAATCAGGTCTCTACTACAGACTTCTGGTGACTTCTTGCAACTAGTCATAGGATTCCTCTTAAAGAAGGAAAAGATGGGAACACCAGACGCCTCTCCTTCAGAGATACTAACACTCAAGTGACAACTGAACTCACTCTCTAGGATAAAGTGTTAGGGGGCAGATTTGTTTACCTTGACTTTGGGTTCAAGTGAATTAAATTACTCTGAAAAATTTGTGCTGGCCTCTGGCTTGGCCCTCTCTGTCAATTATTTCTTGTTTGTTTGTTCGTTTGGTTTGTTTGTTTGTTTGCTTTCTCAAGTCAGTAACTGAGGACTTAGATTTTTTTTCTCCCCCCTCAACTCTGACCTAAACACAAAAAATGCTGTTAGAGGTCGCTCTCATCAATCCCTGGGATCTCAAGGAGCAATCAAGATGTAAAAAGCAGCGGGAGAAGTGTTAGGAAGTTGAAATTAGTGCCTTTCATTCTCTGAGAATGTGCAGTGACTTTGGGCTTTGTCTTGCATCTCAATACTGGTATTCAGCCAGGCCTGCAGAGGTTAACTGAGGGTACTGAATATGCAATGGGAAACCAGCATGTGCTGGGAGGTATGCTTCCAGAGCAGTCCTGCCCCAAATGGTACAATCTCCTCTTCCTGCAAGGGAAATACTGTTAGCTTATTCAGACCATTAATTCTTTTAAATCATTGCTCGAAGGAAAACTGAGGTCAATTAGAAACATGCAAATGGCATTTTAACCAAGGGAAACAAAGACATTGCTCAGATTTATTTACTCGAGCACAGCATGGTACGAAGCATGCTTAGTTTTGAGGGGGGTCTCTCGACTGGCCTAGCCTTTGGCATCCACACTTGGGGAAAGATGCCTTAGAAGGAAGGGAGAACATTGTTCTTTTATGGGCACACATAGGGAAATGAAATCTGAGACCTGGGGTAATCTCATTCTCTGTGACTATCCCATGTTATTCAAGGTAGTTAGAAGAAAAAGGATTTTGCACAACTTACTCCAATCTTAGCTGAGTCCAATCTGAACATGCTTTTAGAAAAACGTTGGGGAAGGTCTGAGGCACGACCTGGTGCTTCGACTCACTAACTACTAGAAGTTAGCTGATTTGAAAACCAGACTGGACAACAGACAACCAATCTGTCATTGTCCAAACAAACCCTAGTTGGCCAGATGGAAAGATGGGGCAAGGAAAGCAAAAGCAGGGACACAGACGCTTTGAGGCTTTGGTCAAACGTTACTTCTAGGCCACTCCACTGATTCCTCCCTGGCACCTTGAATGTAGAGCATGCGCCTAGGTCATACCTTTTTCAACATACTCTTTCTCACTAAGCCTCATTTGCCTTAGAGTTACCTGCTGGTCTCCATCTCCTACTGGACCCCGAAGGCAAGAACCCAGCCTTACTCACCATGCAATGCTGGCCAGCACCTGACAGTTCCTAGAACAAGGCAAGCTACTAGGTGGGAACAGGTATGGGTCCAAACAAGGTCTATCTTGGGCTTCAACTTCAGGTTCCACCTGGGGCACCTTCTCAGAGGATGGTCCCTTGAAGCACATACCTGAGCCTCCAGCTGGCACTCAGTAAGGGCCATCATTTCCTCATAGGTCATCTGGGAGAAAAGCGCAGCGTACTTGTGCAGGCGGAGGCTTTTTAACCAGGCTGGAACATCTGTGGTGCAAGATGTGCAAGAGATGGGGAGAGAAATTGAAAGGGAACGAGAAGAGATGACAAAAGATATGGGAATAGAGAAAGGAAAGGAGGGTGATGGTCGGAGGGAAAAAAGAAAAAAAAAACCCTTTATGTTACTACTTGTTCAATTCAATTTTGGCAGCAAATTCTGGACTTTGAAATCTTGGTCTAGCCCTGATATTCCTGCTATTGGGTTCCCTTACACTACTTTAGACTAGGGGTGGCTAACTTGGGGTCCATGGGCTTCAGGGCATATAGGAATTCCCTAAAATTATATCCCAATTTGTAAATATGTTTACTTTTCTGGGCAGAAATCATCCATAGTTTCCATAAGATTCTCAGAGGGATTCATGACCAAAAATATGGCAAGGAACCCCTTGATTTGGAGAGAACTGACTTAGAATGTTAAAACTACACATGATGAGTCTTCATCTCAAAGAAAACTTCTTTCTAGGTTCAGTGTAGCTCTCCACATGCTACTTCCTCTGCTTCCACAGTGATAGGTAAACCAGGCAACTGTAGGACCTACGGGTGGGGTTGCTGTCATTCTTAGCCTAATCTTTCTTCTGCCTTCCTGTGCCCCAGTGGGAATAAGGGCATCCTAGACTCCAAACTATCACTCGTGTGTGTGTGTGTGTGTGTGTGTGTGTGTGTGTGTGTGTGTTTGTGTGTGTCCGCTGACCACTTCTCCAAGTTATGGAATGTATCTGGATGTGTCTCTGACCTTTTGCTTGAATATTGACGACAAATGTACCAAGACTGGAAGGACCCAGAGATTGCTTAGACCATAGGATAATAGGAATTCCAAAGCAGATCTGAAATAAGCCCAAATCTGGGATTCTCGAGTTGGGAAAATTAATAGAAATAGTATCAGAATTCATGAGTCATCACCTTGTTGCTAAGTACAACCAAAGCAAAGCCCTTGTGCATGCTCTTTAGCATTTCTGCGCTGATGGGATCTTTGAGAAATCTCTAGAATCAGCTTCCTCCACTCCTTGCTCATTTTACAGATGGCAAAATTAAGTCATTAAGTCTAGTTTATGGAGTATGTGGTGAACTGGGGACTAGAACCAGGCCTCCCAATTCCTATCTTTTCCCTATGTCATATCAACTTCTCGTGAGATGAGGGCCAAACAGCCCGTCAGTGCTAGGGCTGGGTAAACAATGACCGCAAAGTACTTAGAAATGTTGACGCACTGGGTAAATGTTACTCATGTTTCCTATAAAGTGTTATCCATTACTAACCATGTTGATTACGATATACTGTCTATTTCCACGTGCTTTATTCTGAGGCACTGACAAACACTCCAGAGTAAGTGGGAACCTTCCAATTTTCAATTTTTAAGGTAGTTAACTGGGATTGATTAAAGAAACCTGGCCTCCTCTGAAATCAGACCCTGATTTCAGGCCCCCTGGGGGAACCAAACACAGGCTTGATTTTGTGCTTGGAGGCCCTTCATTCTACAGTGACAAGCAGAGGGTCCCTCTGGGATCATTAGTAACCACAGAGACAAGGCTTCCCCAGGCACATAGTACAGACCCCTAACATCCTCCTTGACTCAAACTGTAGTTCGGTAGAGTCCAGACCCTGCCAGCTCGGACTCTGGTGCTGTCCTTCCTGCAACATCCTGGACCTGTTTTACCAGACTTTATTCTCCATCATGTCTTGTTGTTGCTGAAACAATGCTAATACGTCTGCAGAGTGACCAGGCAAATAACAACAGCTCCGGCTCTTGGGCCAATAACGTGTTAACAACTTTGGCACTAGGATTCATGTTTGCTACTTTGAAAAGCCCCAAGTTGCTGCTCAGAAAACTCACTGATCATGATTCAGGGAAGTCTGGGTAACCCCAAGGCACACTTGGGCAAAATCTGTTGCAGAGATTACAGAGCATCTCATGGGCCAGATTTTCACTGGGTGCCCTACAGTTGAATCATGCAAAATCCACCAATGATAAAACAGAGTCCTCAGCTATTAAATCATGTTAAAAACTGGGTATTTTATATGCCAAGAGGACAATGTAGGGTTTTAAGAGTTGGGGAGAGCGGGGTGCAAGTCTGGGCTTGTCAAGACTAATACTCCACTCAATACTAGTTCCTTTCCACAAAATATCTGACAACTAGAATTTCTATTAGAGGGCTGGAAGGGCCTGCCTCACCTGTTTAGTCAAAATGCGGGTCATTGGGAATTGTCTTCCTACAAAAGGTTCCTACACAACACAGTGAGTTAGGCCTTCCTGAGAAGTTACTTCTATATAATGTTGCTGGGAAATGTAAGCTTCTCTTGGCCGTATATTCCCTTGAGGCAGGCACATGTTGACTCTGCTTGTATAGTGAGTGTCTCAGTGCCTAGCTCGGTGTTGTGTGCTTGAAGAGCTCTCCTTCCTGAAACATGAACTGATGAACAAAGAAGAAGAAATCCCAGTTCTTAAGAACATAGCCTACTAATCTTTCATCCCCTGGTTCGAGACCAGGTATCTTCTTTTGCCAGGAATTAAAACAAAACTCCATTAGGAGGGAAATAAACCAGAGAAGCAAGAGCACCCGGACCATTTCACTCCTCCCAAGCCAGGAACTCCAATGACTTCGATGCTAGATTCTGTGACGATGTTACCCAGAGGCAAAGTCGAGCTAAAAGTTCAGGTCCTTTCCTGTGTACCAGGTGCCACAGGGTTGGATGCAAAGCTAAGAACCACCTCATATAACCTCAGATATTGTGGTTTTTCATTCTGCAAAGCTGTGGCTACGGTTGAGAGACACAGACAAGCAGGGGTATTTCCTTTGGGAGCAGATACGTGATTGATGTCACGCGTGCCTCCTGGGCTCCCACCTCTGGCTGGCACATAGCCATTTAGCTTCATCTGGGCTGCTTCTGCTCGACATGCCAATGGAGATCCCAGACGACTAGAAAGTCACTCTCTTATGCAGTGTGGGGAAGATTTAGATGCTTTTGCTCTATGCCGGGTTGACTTCCTTGGCAAGTGTGAGCATCCCGATATTTGCTCAACATTTTGAACGTTTGCTGTGGGGGCCAGGCATGTCCCTGCCATCAAGGAACTTTTAATCCAAAGAGAATAGCTGACTCACACAAAACATTTATAATAGTTGCAGGACAAGTGCTAAGTCAACTCAAAGTTCTAGGCAGGCACAGAACAATGTGCATTCTGGTTTGCCCTGGGGAGTAAGGGATAGCTTCAAAGTAGCAGCAGTCCTGGAATCACTGGGCAGACCTACTGAGGAAGCCATCTGAGGAGGCAGGAACAGCATATTAGCAAGCACAGAGCTAAGAGAGCATTTGGGGCTGAGCAAGCACTTGGGTGAATGATAGTAAGTACCAAGGTGGGACAAATAGGCAGGGGTCCAATGATTGAGATCTATAATGCTGAAACAAGGACAGTAGGCCTCATGTGTGGGTGATGAGGCACTGCTGAAATCTGGGCAGCAGAGGCACTATCAGAGGAGTATGTAAGAAAGGTGACGACTGTCAGTGTAAAGCCTGGACGAGGGGATGTGGGAGTGGAGGCTGGGAGATGAACCGAAGCCCTTGGAGATGGCTTGGAAGGGCGGTGGTGAGAAGGAAAGGATATAAATGGACAGCGCTTGAAGATCAGCGAATAGGGAATGTGAGTGAGACTGGTGGTTCTTCTGACTCAAGCTTGGGAAGACAGAAAGTACAGGGGGGCAGCAGGTTTGGGGTGGCAAGGGAGAGATGGTGAGCTCTACTTCATGTCGGCCGAGTGTCACTGCCTTTGAGCCATCCAGGTGGAAAAGTCAACTAGAAGGATCTCTGAAGCGAGGTCTGAGCCGGAGAACTTGTCAGCAGCATGTGGTGGGTGGTGGCTTGAAGCCATGGAAGTGGGTGAGGTCACTTAGGGAAAGAGCATGCAATGGGAACAGGGGTGAGCTAAGATGGAGCCCTGGGAGCATGAGAAGGTGTGAGAAGAGAAGCCCATGAAGAAAACTGGGAGGAGGAAGCTGAAGGGTAGCAGGTTTCTAGGAGAAAGCACTATGTGCAGATGGTGGCCCCTGTGCACAGTGTCCGTCTTTCACAAAGCTCCTTCCAGATCTTGCTGCAGTCCATAGTGGTTTATCTTCATAAGGCCTTTTTTGGGCATAGTACTACACTCATCTTTTCCATGCTCTGTGTGTACCTGATGGTCTTTACCAATGGGATCAATTTCCAATTATGCTGAGTTCTATTTCCCCTTTTAGAGTTTGGACAAACCAGCCACAGAGAGGTTTTGTGGTGCGCACAACAGCTCACACAGAGGCTGGGCTCCAAGTAGAACTTGAGCTGCTTTTTTCAAGTATTTGCTGCTGGAATGGCTGCAAATACCACTCGGCAGGCCATGCAGCACCTGCCTCACAAACAAAGAGGCTCCACAAGATTGAAAGATGGAACCGGTACTGCAGAAGGGCTCAATATGGGAAGCATCATAAAGGGCAGGGAGTAAAACGTTCCTGGAAGAGAGAAACGTGAACAGCCTTGGTTTCCACAAGGAGCCTCACCTTGTGGTGGTCCTGGTACCTGCAGACAGAAGGGAAACTCCCATTCACCACAGAGAGCCAGGCTAATCTCAAACAACTCTCTCTCTTCCCGGGAAACAACTGCATCCTTGGTCTTTGAGGGAGAGGAGTGAGCCAACTAAGGGGTAAGAAGAGGCTAACTCTTCAGTGTTGAAGTGAGAGGGGAAAGATTCCTTTCAAATCCAAAGCAGAAGTCTAGGAATATCATCGATATTACTGATGCCTGTCTCTTTCTGGCCAGAGCAGAATGAACAGCTCAGTGCTGTTCTAGCCTCTGAGCGAGAGGAAGAAGGCGCCTTGGTCTATGGTTCTTGTGAACTGTGAGCACGCTCCTCAGTCCTGGGAAGTGTCCATGGTGGCCTCCAGGAGGGGTTCCATGCTGATGGGGAGCATGTGTGGGTCTCTGAAGAAACAGGTTGAGTGAAATACCCACTTAGAGGGTTTGGATACAA